CAAACGTAGCTACACCGCCACCACACCTCTTTTTATTGTTTGATCGATCCTGACGATAAATTATGAAATCACGTAGTGATACTAGGCAGTCTTCCTGTAAATCATTTAACCAAGATTCTTGAATTGTGATGACACCACAATTACGATACATATTTCGACTTAGTGGGAATTGAAAATAGTCCACCTTGTTAATTAGTGATCAGCAGTTAGAAGTCCGTAGCTCGGGAATCGACACACGATTAATGCTCATTCTCTTCAAAGCATGTTGCCAATCACCACGATGTCTTTGATTGCGCTTTTTTGTAACTTGTGCAGCGAAAGGTCGTAGGCTTTTTATGAACGCGCCTGTATAAGTTGTGCGAATAATAGACATAATGAGACGTTGAGACAAAATGAAAAACAGATAACTTGTTGAAATAGTTAGATGGCAGAAACAGGTAGCCCAGATATTCAGTCAGGCCTCTGATAAAGTCTTTAATTAATAACGTATAAATATCTACTTACGTAACTGATGATTCTTTAAGAACAAGAGTACCTCACTAGATATCGAAACTGGGCTTTGCATGAAGAATTCGGATAAGATGATACTCGATATTCTGAAGCTTAACTGACAATTATTAGGGCCATTTAGGACAGGAATAATCCTAATGCAGAGCCCTCAAGTTCATGGGCCCCTCACATTTCCAATCGATGAGTGACCGATCACAATTTATGGTACCTGTAAATGTTTGTAACAATATTGTTGTGAACTAACTTGTCTCGTTCATTTGCGAGCTTCTCTCTGCTGAAACTGAACATAAATAATATGAGCACTTGACCTGAATAACTATACATCAAATTTTCAATATGAGGCGATTCCATAGTCTGGGCTACTGAAAACTGAGGTATTCTACTTCCTAATGGCTTTGAAAGACAGATAAAGGTCTGAGTAATATCAGCTATGAAAAAGAGCAGATTAGAAAAATACAGAATGTAACGACAAGAGTCATATCGTCGATCGATCGATCGATCGATCTGGACTAGTCATCATCAACCGTCACGAAAATCGGTTAATAGTTCAGCATCTAATGATTAGTCTTCTGGTGATAGTTGGTCTATACATATGTGTAACTTTTAACTTTAAAGAGTAAACGTTGTCTATAAAATCCAAAATACTTAGTATCAACACATTGGGTTTAAGACTTAGGGTCGAAAGCACATTTGTATCGTCGTTTTTGCCGAGAGAACACAGAAGATATGGATTCAAAAGACAGCACATCACAGAGCACATAATCGGGTACCCTGCCATATTTTTTATAAAGATTTACTCCAATTCGAGGTTTTCCTCCAGCGAAAGTGAAAATAGCCACCTCAATGTATGGCTTCAAATATGTACTCACCCAAGAGTTAATATATCCCGATCATATTAGTTGTGAACGATGAATGTCTAGTAACTTATCTTCTGTTGTCATATTTCATTAACTTACTTCAATCTCGGTTGTTATCATCTCCATTCCCTTTTCTACTTCTTAATTTGGGTCATCCCATAATGTCTGCACTGCCAGTTAATTAAGTTAATGATTTAGTTCTTGAAACAATCGTCTACTCTTAGCACTCGAATCTTCTTGTTATTGTTTTTCACATTGCGATCAACAAACCTCCTGCGTGATATTGCGGTAGCCGAAACAAACTCACCACGATCACATGATATACAAATTGACAAATAACCTCCAAACTGACAGGAACTAGTGCATTTAAGTCGTTAGACCGTTCCTCGCTGAAAATGGGATATTATATGTGTTTACAGGGCTATTGTTTACATAGGGTAGTAGGTCGTTGTGATGCTCTTAGAGTCTGCGCAAAATCAAAAGTGTGCGTAACATCCCCGGAAACTTTAGATACACTTTATCAAAGTTCACAAACAACTTGATAAATGCATAGAACAAGTCTTACGTGGAATAGACTCACCTTAGAAATACGGTAAACCAGGATGTACTTTAGGCACGACTTCTAACAAGAGATTGTATTAAACTACTATGAGCTGCTTTTCCGAGTCCTCAAAAAATAGTTTTCGCATCCTCATGAAAAACGTCCTAGAAGCATCTTGCACTAGATTAGTCATCAGGTGATTTTAAGACTTGACTACTGTTAAAATTTAGAAGGCGCTCTTGCATTCCGACATGGTATGTCACATTTATTTATTTGTGTCACATGTCTTCTGGTGGGCTGGGAATGTTGCTTAGGATCATCCATAAGGTGCAGCTTCACCTTTAGGACAGAAAGAGACTTGGGGAAGTCTAGCCTTCATTTATAGGGATCATATGCGATCCTATAGGTCGGTCAGGTATTGTTAGTTCTTGAGTTAGGTATTTCTATGAAGCTCAAACTTATTTCTGAAAGCATTCATCGTTACATCTGGCGCGTTTTGTGTGCAATGGTTACTGGTAACTTGATCAAAAGGTGGAATCATACCCTGAGATTTCTTGATTGAGGTTACTGCTCATTTTTGTGATGGCCTCCTGTATAATCGATCTCATGTGGAGCAAAAATGTAATATATTGTCAGCGTCTGAATGACGTTTTTGCATGAAAAATGTGCCAGCATAAGACTGGGTTGCTATGTAGGATATTCTGAAGGTATCTAAACTTTTTAGACACCATTAACAGGAAAGATCGGAAAAACTCAGTGTCAGCTTTATCTCTACGGCCGTTGAGCAGCAGATCGAAACTTTGAGCGATACTACCGTGAAGTGTTTGAGACAGTTCGTGAAATTCTTATGTTTAATTGTAATTAAGCCTTGGTCTAGAAAGTTTCTCCGTGTTCTGCAAAGGTTTTCAAGCGGACTTATTGTTTTTCGATGTAAGCGGAAAATCTACTCCTCCCAAACTTTGCTTCACGAAATAGATTTTTTTATAAAACGTTATTACTTTTTCACCTGATTGTTTCTCAGTTGTGCAATTGTGGGCTGAAAACTGTAAAATGATCCAAATCTCTTCCACTGAACCGATTCTTCCCCAGTGCAACTGACAGGTTGTAGTTAAAATGTGAAAAAGCCTTACACATGATTTTCATGTTTTATCTAATCATACATTCACATCTTCAGTAGCCCAAGGATCTCTCTTAAGCAACATAGATAATGTGGCAGTTCATGTAGGAAGGTCTATCAAAATATGTCGGTATACATTTAGGGTAATAATTATAGAAATCGTTCAGTCAGTATCCACTTTGAAGCAGTTGTAGACGTAGGAGGTGAATATTTTCGGCTTATCTTTTCTATATTCTCTACAGAACTCCGTACTATGTATAAGAGTAGATAATCGTGCCATAATCAACAACGAAAATAGCTAAACTAGTAAATGACATTGGAAACCTAAATTATCTCATGTATGGTCTTATACCGTATTCGAAAACTTATAGTTATATTCGTCAGGATACTGTAAGGCTCAAAACTAGTTATAAAACATTTTTATCCATATATGCATAACAGAATACATAAGTCAGTTACAACATTGATATCGTCACCTGCTTGAAATAAAAGTACAAGTTTCGATCGATACAAATTTTAAAAAGAATGAAGACGTTCCAGCAAAAAAACGTTTCTTGACGACAATATAATCTTTTGAAGCTGTAAAATCGTATTTGTAGGTAATTTTTACATGTAGTATTCTACGGTGAAATACAGAGGTTTTAAAAGATTATCAAAAGTGGTCAAACTTATTCAACTGCAAGTCACTGGAATTGGATTGATATTGTGTTGTATAGTGAAGATTATCAAAACTTTACTTCAAGCGTTAAGAGTATTAATTCACGAATATAGAGGTGTTGTTTGAGTATATTTAAAGTTTCCAAGTGCTGAATAAAAATGGTTGTCTCATTTAACAAGTAAACCAGAAAACATCAAGCGCTTACGTTATTTAATGGTTTCTGAAGTTATTAGAGGTAATAATTTACAGAATGAGAGCAAAAAATAAATGTTCACTTGACAGATGACGAGATAATAACTAACAATATAATTTGTGAAATTCAAAGAGTTGCTAGGATCATGGGTGAATAATGGTTTGAACACGACTTTTCTGTTCACATCGTTTGATTTGAAGTGGTGATTTGCTATCGTATTAGCTGTACACAAATATTTGGGAAGGAATTTTGAATAAATATTCACGCTATGGATTTGGTCACGATTGACCATGTGTTCAACAGATAAGCTGTTAACCGATCTGTATTACCCTTTAAGTAACCATCAAAGCTAGTGTTCGAATATTTGTTTACAAAGTGCCTAATTTGTACGGCCAATATAGCCTGCTCCACAAGAGCAAGCAAACTGATAGATACACAGTGAGGTGACCCAGAGCGGCAATTCATCCTTAACACTTATCTGCAAACGCCTATGGCAGTTTATCATTTCAAAATCTCAGTAAAAATTAAGATATATCCGCTTATTCTTTGTAATAGAAAGATTCAAGAGAAATAACACTCCTTTTTTCAGTGTGTACTGTGAAGAGATTTCAACACCGCCAGTCACTTTAATAAAGTCCAAGAGTTTTGATAAGGAGCTTCCTACTAATCTGTACCTAACCCGTGTACAGTGTCGTTTGAAGTATTGCATTGACGCTAGGATATCTTGCTTTAAAAACGAAGTTTGATTTTGCCAAGTTACTCTGAAGGAAACCATTTTGTTACAGAAATTGTCGAAGTGTTTTGGACTTTTCTGTCATATCCTTGGATGAAGCGTTGTGTGACGACTTCATGAAACATTTCAAGCAGTGAACTGAGAGATAACATTAGTATCTTTTGTTTTTTGTAAGATCAATAACTTAATGAACTGCGACCTGTAGTCTTATGAACACAAAAATAACTTCAGATAGAATTCAAAATCCGTTATTCGTTAGTCACTGAGTGAAACGCACTGCCAGCACCAGTGATATTAACTTATTTAGTGACTGGCTACACGGAAGTATCATGCTTTTATGTCAAACTATCTAAAAAATAAAACTTACTGTGTCTCTGTAATTAAAAACAAAGGTTGTGGAGAGATTCTTGACCTCTAAGCCGAAGAGTTCGCAATTACAACAATGCTGACTGGTTCTTACGCTGGTCAGACGTGCAAAAATAAGCGCAATGGTGGGTTTTTCTTAATACTTATAAGACGCTAATCAGGCATGGGAACATATCTCTATAAAAATGGATACTATAAGTATGAAGGTGAATGGATTAATGGTAAAAGATGTGGTGAGTGTTTTGGCTTCCCCTAATATCCTAGGGACTGGAAGATTTTCTATGAAGGATGGAAGTATTTATGAAGGCAGCTTTATTGATGGGGAGATGTGTGGAAATGGACGAAGATTTTATGCACTATCAAAAAACGAATATATGGGTCACTTTTTGTTCGGGGAACGTCATGGGTATGGTCTAATGAAGTATGGAGATGGATCCACGTACGAAGGAGATTGGTATCACAATTTACAACAAGGTAATAATTCCTTCCTAAAAAACTAAAAAGAAGGTCATGGAAAGTACGTCGATGTAGACAAGAATAAATATGTCGGTGAGTTTTTTCAAAATAAAAAAAATGGACCAGGATGTCTACATTCACACAAGTATGTAAGAGTTTTTTTCAATTTATGGATAATTTGCCGAAGACTTTCTTACATAGGGTATTGGAAAAATAATATTTATGATGGTAATGGTATCCTAAAGATGATAAACGGAATGACATATGAAGTAAGAGCAACTTACTCAAATAATGAGGTTTACTCTTGTATTTTTAATGATAATACAGTAATTTTAGCAGTGTAGTTTTCAATTACATACCATGCAAATAGTTGATCTTGTAAAACAGACGGTTATTCTATTTTTCCAATGTGTTATTAGTCTGCAGTACATCTTAGTTAATATGAAATGGATTCAAAATTTTACATTCAGCTATTAAGGTATTATACTTTTCTTCATATAAGTTATAATGTTTTGTATTAAGCTTGAAAAATCTTGTAGAACAACAACATTTAAAATATCAAATGATGAGAACTTAGTTACTTTATATGTTTACTCCATGTTTTTTATTGTTTAATTGACCACATTGTATGTTAAAGCCATTTATATAATGATAATAAGCTTCTAATTCGATTTTTGTGTGTGGCCAAAATACAGGCACTTTTATTAGTTACGATACGTGCATTGTGATTGATATATTATTCAATGTACAGATCTCAGTAAAATTAGCAATAAGATCAATAATCCTCTTAGTCTATTCAGTATTTAATAGAGTCTGATGTTCGCTTGTTACGCTTGTTACGCTTGTTACAATTGTCATACTTGTGAACATCAGAAAATAAATAAACGCCATGATTACAACCAATAACTGTTATCGTAGCACTCATGGTATATTGACAACTTTGTGTGAATCTTTTTTATTAGGAGTAATATGTATAAAAATAAAAAAAGACGTCAACTTCATTCGTCTTGAAAGTTAGCGTATAATGTAAATAAATTGGTGATGCAGAGGAAATTTACGCATCATGTAAACTGTCAGCAGCAGATTTTGTAAAACTGAAAATTTTAATTAAAGAATTTCTGTAGGAAGTTGGGTTAATTTCTGCAGGATCTTTGCCATAATCTAACCACTAAAATAAACTCTTGACTATTGTATAGCCAAATAACACTGAAACAAAGCTAACTATATGGAAGATTTTTATTCTCGATACAAATAGTCTTCAACTGATTTATATTTAACTAAAGTAATATTCTGTATTTTGGAATTTTGATAAGGAGATACTTTATTTGTCCATTATGGCTCATTTCTACTGCTGTACTTGTAATAATTTGCTATCCAACCTTACTAAGATATGTGAATTATGCAGGCTTTGTTCCATAGGCTTTATGAGTTACATTATATTATGGATATGTCGATATTTTAACTGATTACATTTCCACTAGAAGCTGTTTTGCATTCGCAAGTAAGAATTTGTGTATTATCGAGCTTTCAAATACACGGGAATAACGTATATCCAGTTAAACACGGGCATTTTTTTCCTAGTGTAGTTTACTCATAATGTTTATTTTTAAACAAATTAAGATAGTCACAGCTTATCAACTAAAAATTGACTGAATCTGAGTTCCTATGAATTGAAACTTAAGTTAATCACTCAGGAAAGTTTTGGGAGATCTTATATTCTAAGAAAATTTAGCCAGATTGTTTGTAGGCATAGAAACGGCTCTGAGGTTATATTTTGATTTCATTAAGACGACATTTGACCAAACATTCTGTAGGATTTCCCCCAGCCACTCTTTAAACACTTTTCAAACTTTTCAAGACCTTCCTCTTGTTAATTATCCTTTCTTTCAGTATTTATTCAAATATACATCATACCTTTATGGTTATACATGAAAGTTTGTGCCTCAAAAGAATTAGCTTGCCTTAATTGATATCACGAAATAATTTTCCTTCCAGTTACACCATGAAATTTGATAGTTAGGGTTAACATACTGTGTATTGTTATCCATTGTTTCTTTATTTGCCCAATTTTGTGTACTGTTTATATATCTTGTCCGCTAAATAAATTTAAGTAAGTGTTAACCACCTACTCTGAGTTTCCAATTATATTTTAGGCTCCTCTCCGTTAAAGTAAACACTATCCTGTAGTTGAAATCCTATAAATGCAAATGAAACCTCAGTTAAAGCAACAAATGAACATCGTAAATCAAACGTGTTTCACAAAACTCAATTTCATGTCTTTACTACTTGAAATTACTTTGCCATTTAGTCTATCAAATATTTACCTATCAATGACTACATTACTAATTCATTCTAGGGGGAATTCAAAAATGGTAAACCAAATGGACAGGGTAAACTAACACGCAAAGCGAATCTGTTACCTGATTATGAAGGTTTATGGAAAGATGGTCTACCCTGTCAAGTAGCAAATCATATGAAGTTGTCAATTGAATTGGAAAAAGAGAATTTAGGGTCCAATTCATCCTGTTTAGTTGAATATCGAAATTCTCCAATCAAAGAGAAAAGTTATCAGTTTGCTTCATCTTCAAGGATGGAAATTGTATCAAATGAATTGGAGATGAAATTTAATATTGATATTTGCATATTCAATAATAATCGAAGGATTTTAATTGAAGGTAAACATTTGTTTTGCTACGAGTTTGTTTTAAGTTAGTTGATAATTTATATTTAGTTATTTATGATGAGCAGTCAAATATGATGCACTCGTTTCGTCAAATCTAAGTCTTGTCAGTGGGATGCATCTATCTTTTAATTCTATCATCGTCAAGTTGCTATCAACCAGGCCACCGGACTATTGAAGTATGACGAAGATTAAGCCATTACTAGACCAAATAACTCTCTTTTTCTATTTACTTTGACCAAATTGAACGATCAGTTTTAGCACATAAGCTCTTTGCTGGGATACTACAAATTGTGTTTAAATGTTTGGGCTTGGCTGGTAATTAAGTCTAGATTACGACATTTTTCCTAATTGGGACTCTTTATATGGACATATAACCTCCCGTAGTGTTTTTATTCTCTCAGAAAACTGCCTGATTTATTCAAAGTAACTGACATTGTTACTTATTAGGAACTAAGTAGTATGATGCGTTAACACGACAATAAAATATTCTCAAATGTCACATGCCTAAGAATTGAGTTATTACAATACTCATAAACAATGGGCGATTGAGCTTTTATAACAGGATAGTAAAAAACTATTGTGACTTTGATGCTATGGCAAAAACTAATGTTACATAGATATCGTAATTTCCAGGGCTAAATACATCTGACAGATCTGTCTATTAGTTCATTACTGTCATAAAAGAAGTGTATTTTATTTAAAGGATCTCAACACCATATATCATCTAAACGTGTCACAATTGTGTCAGAATTCTCATGAAGCCTTAACTGCGATTCAAGTTTATTTTCACAGTAGGAGGGAGTTTCTTGACAAGAAATCCCTGTAGAAACATATATTGTATGTTCTGAATTATTGTGAAAATTTAAACGGTATTGCAATAAATGTTGATCTTTGTGATTTACACCAATCAGAGGAATATTTTTTTTCGGTAGCTCTTCATGGTGATTGCATCTAATTAGAGACTTTGGGTGCCATGGTTCAAAATTGTTCGTGACATTGCACGTGCATTCACTCAAAATCTTCTCCTAAAACTTTAAATTCTTTATAAATGTTTTTTACATTTCATTGATTTATATTTTCTTTTTAAATTTTATCTTGTATGTCCAACCGTTCCTATTGCTATAAACACTGTTACTAACTCTACTACTCTGGGATTTATCTTGACAATTTCATTTCGCAATATTATTGGGGTATTACAACTTGGGCCAATGTACACATATATAGGGTTTCATGTTGTGTTTGCCTAATTAACTGACTCTTAATTAGTGCAGTCTATAAATTCAAAGTCATTTGTTTTATACAATAAGAGACATACTATTTACTAAGTGAAAGTAGACCATTTTTAATAGTGTTATATCAATTGAATAATCTTATTTAATCTTAAACTTTTTAGAAAGTCATCGACAACTTGCTTTATGGATAGGAAAAGTTTGTAAAGATAATATGCAAAGGGAATTTTCTGTTGATCTTCAAATTTCAGTGGAAACGCCACTCTTGTTATTCCTAAAGGAAAAAGGGATTTATACAATGGAGACACCTTTGTAAGTGATCATTTCATTTCTTGAAACAGACAATTGTTTTAATAGTATAGGGTGATTTTTTATGAGATGGTGAACCTTATCGAGATTACGAGCCGACTTATGTCACATAACCGTAGGAAACCGGAAATTACTGGACGACTATTTGTTCATAGTTTGGGACTCTGCAGTAGTGCTCATCGGTAAACCTATGTACTTATAATTACCAAGTACTCAATAATGACTAACTTCATGATTCCATTTCTGGATTTCTGTTGTATAGCCGTGACCATTAGAGTTCAACTATGTCAAGTGTGATGCATCTACCCACTGAAGACAGTAGAAGATGGTGGCTCAGTACCGTAAACTGGTTGAAGTTAGATATGTAAACCAATGTGTGCTAGGCCAGTGGTCTAGAGGTGAAACGTTCATCGCTTCACTTTATGACCTAGGTTCAATCCTCAGTGTAGTCATATATCCACACCGTTGAAGAATCCTATAGTAGAGTTAAACAACTCTCCAGTGCTTCCTGGTTTCCAGTGAATATATAACTTGGATAGGTTTATGATCTTAAAACATATTTCAAGCTATTCATTGGGTTCAAAAGACAAAAATTTTCATCCAATTGATCAATCTCTTGTTGGCATATGTGCATCCTGTGAGGTTTTCGGACTCGTATCCTGGATTCCACCGCCAGCCACTATTCATCTTTGCTTGTGACTTCAGTCAATACCAAAGCAATCTTCACAGGATGCACATATACCAACAAAAGACTAATCAATTGCAGTCCTAAACAACAATGGAAGGTATAAGCAAACAACACTAAATGAATTTGTATTAAAGTGACTTGAAATTTTAGTCAGATATTTAAGTAATTCATTTGTTAGTAATATTTTCTTTTTAAAAAATTCGTTTATTTTTATCCTAAATGAGATAATGAGCTTGTAAATCCTCATCAAACCTACAACACTATAATGAATCAATAAGAAATTGAATCGTATAGAGATAGTTTACATTCTTTTATAAGTTCACCCCTCTTTTTCTCTTTCTCTAATTTCATTTTATCCCCAATTACTTTCAGGTTGTTTCCTTTTCTCAATTTGTTTATTGTTCATCTTATAACCATCTTAGATGGTTATGCTCGTTTTTCTTTATATATTTATTTACTTAATTAATTTGTATTTTTTTTATTGGTAATGAAGTTTATAGTAAAAACACGAAGTTCAACAAAAGGATCTCTTTTCAACGAATTTATTATCAACCTGTACAGTTGTATATATATAGATGAAAATTTTTTTCACAGGTTGAAATCATGAGTCAATTGGAGCTAGACCATCATGGAAAACCTGGAAGCACTGGACGGCCGTTTCGTCCTAGTATGGGACTCCTCAACAGTGCGCATCCACGATCCCGCCCCCGTGGGATTCGGACCTAGGACCTACTGGCTTCGCGCGCGAGCACTTAACCATTAGACCACTGAGCCGGCATCCAATGGTATTAATGTCTAACTTCAACCGTGGATGCGCACTGTTGAGGAGTCCCATACTAGGACGAAACGGCCGTCCAGTGCTTCCAGGTTTTCCATGGTGGTCTAGCTTCAACTGACTCATGATTTCAACCTGTAAAATTTCCTAAAATCTCCACAAAACTCATTCTGAAAATTTTTTTGTTAAAGTACTGGTTCCACGCGGAAATGTGAACACGAATAACTAAGATTATAATACTCGATTATGCAATACGAATAATACCAATAGACTTAATAAGTTAGTAACGAATTAAAACGTAAATGTAGTAAGATGATTAAAATGTTTATTTCTACAATAACTAAAGGCAATAATTTTGTGAGATAGTGACTTACTGAAGACAATGGTGGATGTGTCTCTTACTGACCATTATGTTTATCACTTCCCAACATTTGACAAAAAAAAGAAATAAAGTGTACTACAATATCAAATAACTTGAACCATAAAGTTTGTGTTGTTGCGTACTTGATAGAGTTCTATCAGTACTAAGAAATAACTAGACTACATAATAACTTGAATGTTACTAATTATTCATCTCAATATTATTAGATATTAATTACTGACCAAATAACTCTGATTATGTTACTTATTGGGTTTAAATTCCTAGTAATATACCCCCCCCCCACCAAAAAAAACTTCAAGACAATAAATTCATTTTGGTGATACACTTCGAGTCTTATGACCTCAGTATAAAGCTTACTATCAATAGCTTTCAACAATCAAACATTTGAAATGTATAATATAGAAAGAATATAAAAACGCCTACTATTTTAACGAGTACAAATTTCGCATCACTTATTCTTTACCTATACATAATACTTACTTTGTGTATGAAAATTCATTCTTGTTTACTAAAGTGAATGGTAAATAGTTACTATGATTATTAACAATACTTTAAAAAAGCTTCTTAATACAACCATTACAAATTACAGTAATTGCATAAAATGCATTATAATAGTTTTGAATTGAGTTTATAATTGGATCCACTAATCAATAAATTTAATTAACTCATGTAAAACTAATCACATGAAATAGTGAAATTGTAGTATATACTTAAAGGATCATTTTTATTGATTAGAAACTATTTTTTGACTGGCTAATAATCACATTTAGGTTGATACGTTAATGAATAAAATACTGATGGATTGATTAGAATAAAATAGTATGTTGTGTAGTTGGATGTGATTATTTCAATGGTTAAGATCATGAGTCAGTTGAAACGTGACCATCATGGAAAACCTGGAAGCACTGGACGGCCGTTTCGTCCTATTGTGGGACTCCTCAACAGTGCGCATCCACGAGCTCACCCCCTGAGAGATGTGATAGTTGTTAACGAGACTGAACTCACTGATATATTTTATTCATTTGATGGTTTCTAAAATTAGACGAGCATAAAAGATAGTTTGTTATAAGTAGACGTATGTACAACCATGAAGGGATTAATACTGCCTAGTAGCTCAGTTAGAACTATTACCATTTAGTTGTATTGATACAGGTGACCTCCTAAAGGGATGAAATTTTCAAATAATTGATCATTTAGGAGTACTAGTTCTCAACTCTTGTTCTTAGTGTTATCTAAGTTGTAAAGGAGTCGTTAGGTTAATTGATGGTACTCAGTTTCACTATGTTTTGTTATTAAGTAACTTGATGTAATCGATATTGATATCGGGAGCCGAACATTCACTGGAAAGCAGAAAGCACTGGATAATTGTATTGTTCTAGTATCCGACTTCTCATCAGTGTACATTCACGGTCACTATAGACCTTCTGTCTCATGTACGAACATTTAACCTTCGAATCTTTGAGTCGGAATTCACTTCTTTCATAAATATAAATGAGTGTTTAACTTGGGTCGGTTCATCATATCAATAATCTCCACAAACCTCTTTACTTGAAACAAACTTTGATTCGTTTTATCTATCATGTTCCTGTGTTTGTGTATTCTTGCCATTTTTTAAAAATTATCATCCAACCTGATTAACATTTATAAAATGTCTGCAATTCATTTAGGTTATTTTCAGTTACTTATACGCGAAATATAACTACAGTTCAATAAGTGAAAGAGAAAGACGATTAACTAAGCCCGATTTTTTTATTTTAAACTAGTAACTAAAACATAACAACTGAAATCTAGTTGAAAAAATATTTTTTCAATCAATACTGTGAGGATAAAACTTGTATAAAATAGATGAAATGTCGTTAGCAGTGTAATCCAGGATGCGGGTTTTGTCCTATGTGGGACTGATCAACCAGATGTACTTTCATCATCTGTGTTGATGTTCACTCTGGTATGCAAATCTAGTGCCACTCACTTCAAATGCCAACGCGTTATCTACTTATTATCTAAGCCCAGATAACCATTCACTTGTGTAATGGGTATGAATTTTGATTTAATTTTAATATTTTGCATTATCCATACTAATTAAATTAAATTTACAATAGCTGAAGGAAGGGTAAAACTAGTATTTACTAGCCCAAATGAACGGTTTCTCAAGTTTGTAACTGATTCGATTAGTTTCCTAATTAATATACAAACAAAGATAACTTGATTTTATCGCGAACTAAAATTGTTTCGATCCAAATTAGTCGAGGATTATAATCAAATTGTACATCTAAACATTTATTGTAAATATTGTAAATATATCAAGATTGCCTAGGGCGGGGTTGGATGAATAGTGCTGGTGGGCGGCCTACATTCCTCTACGAGGAGTAACAGGCATAAGTAAGTAATCTTCTGAAGTGAACAGGTTAAATAAATTTCTGAATGTTTCAGAATATCAAACTAAACCGTCGAAATGGTGATAAAACTATTTGAACAAATGAATAAAATAAAAATCTCTTTTGATACATCAAACAATGATTTCAAAACTATCTATGATTTCAGACTATGGTTATTCAAAACATCTTCATTGTTAATTATGTATTGTATGTATGTTCTAGGTAAATGTTGAATATAATAGTGTGATTTTCACTAAAGGTTTTATTTCAAGTGTTTGGAGTTATATATACCTGTTTCTTATAAATATCTCAGTGTTGTACAGTCTAAACTCATAGATAAAAGGCAAAAATATAGTGAGGGTCAGGGCTTACAATAGAATCCATTGAAAATTACACTCTAATATGCATAACTTTTTCCGATAAAAGAAATAGTAAAACGATCACAAGTATTAAATATAATGAGCTCATTCTACACTATAAGCAGCGATAATTTTACAATTTCATTGCTTTTCAATACTATCCATCTTTTATTTGCTTATGAAGCGTTTTATTGCCCATGAACTTCAACAATTTTAGATAAATGAGTTATTTAAATGAGTTACATTCTTTATCAAGGATTATTGATATATTTTTGAAGGAATGGTGGTGAGACTATAATTTATGGATGACCTTTGAGCGACGCTAGACTGACCTTGAGAGTGTCCACCTGATAACTAGGACCGAATGAGGGTTATAAATTAGTGTGAAGAATTCGAATTATAATTTACAGTTGATGGTTAAGGTTAGGAATTATATTTAAGGTTTTCATCACGTACTGACATCAGCTATAATGCCAAGACTCTATTTAGCCAAAAAAAGAGGATGAATTTCGCGCCAAAATCCGAGACCTGTTATCTTATACGTGATTGGTTCGTCCATAGATTATAATCTCGCCGGAATGGTTTGTTTCAAAAAACGAAACATTTTTGTTTACTTATCTTTTTTGGTCTTATTTCTTACTTGTTGTAATGGCTATCTGTATTAACTTACTTATTTAATTGAAATATTAGGTAATGATGTGTTTTTTAAAGTATTAATAGCTATTGAAATTACTAACGATTACATGTAACAATTTAACAGACTACAATGTCATTATTAACCATTATTGATAGTTCCAAACAATAAGCACTTGTATTTCTTCAAAGTACTTTTCATCATGAAGTGAAGAAACATTAAAAATCATGGATAATTAGATGGCTTTCTTTCTCTCTTTCGTCTCAGATTACATCACAATCCATATATAAAAATGTTCATGGAATAAAACGTATTTCGGATTCCAATCTATTGGAATGGGATTTTTTAAAATGTGGTTTTTATCCAGCTTTCCTCCCTTTCTTTAATTCAGTATGATCATTTCTTAGTATAATATTGTAGTGGATTAGCTTCGAGATAATTCTTTAGGCCTTGTATTTCAATCGCCCTGATAACCATTATTAAATAAATCCCAACGGTGTATTAGTTCAGAAGACAACATGAAGCACCGACCACAGTTTATTATTGAAAAGCATAGATCGATAACCCATGTCAAGCATATCAAGCAAATTTTAGCATAAATGCGAATGCGGGCGAGCGAGTGAATACAGAGGCGAATTCGTTGTCGAATCAACTAATAAGATTCAAGCACATACATATTTACGAGAAGGCGATGCCAAGCGAGGACTGTCGTTGAAAAAATGAGAAACGGAACAAGGGGGAGGAGGCAAGTAAGCCAACCCATTGGATTAAGCATGATTCAATAGTCAGACAAAAATAAGTTACAGACACATAATGAATAGGGTAAGCACTTAACAGGCATACGCTCGTATAATAATAAGCGAATAATTCAGAACGTCAAAATGTGACTCAACCCATGTGGATTAGACGTAGTACTAGATATTACAATGTTCAACTTATTATAATGTGATATATTGTCTAGTATAACATTCGTTTTATGTAGAATAGATGACATATGTCTGGCAATTGAATCCAGGGTTAGAGTTACGTCCTGGATTCAGTAGCTAAGTGGATAACGCATTGGCTTTTAAAGCGAATAGCATCAGGTTCGAGTCTTGGAGTAAAAGTCAGCTCTGGCATGTAGATTCATTCAGTTGGTGAGTTCTCAAGTTGGACAAAACAGGAATCCAGGATTCCACTGCTAACCATAATCCATTTATTTAATACACGAAATTCGTGTTTTGATTACCTGATATTCAACTTTTGGCTTACGTCTCTGAACCATACTTCACTTAACTCGCTTATAGTAACCTTATTCATTTCTCCATCCACAAGGTGGTATGAGTCCAAATTTAATACAGATTACTAGTTCTGTTAACAAGATATACTTTATTTGTTTAGAAATATTTTTAATTTTTATATTTTTTGGTAAGCTTTAAAAAACTGTGAAACATTTCGACAATGTTTTAATCTATTTTGAAGTACTGTGGTTTAGTGCTAGTTAATGTTTAGAAGTAAGGCTTCCTTAAAATCCTGTGGAAACTAATGTTTTTTCAGAGATTTGTGCATGCATTATCCACGGCTAAAGTTATATAAGTTACCAGTGAGATTTTTGACATCTTGACTTCTATAATGGAATTTGTGGATTAGCGGCTTTTTTTCAACAAAGCAGATATACTGTGTTAATGTGTGTTAACTTGCATAAAACTTAGATCTAGACCTGTTTTTCGGTTCCTTACAGCCTTATAATATCAAATAAAGCGTACCATGGTACTGAATTATATATCTCAATGGTCATGGCGGTGGATCACTATACCACACTCAACGTGGTTGGACTCCGCTAGTCACCGCAGACAATGGATGAGGGTTGCACAATATCATGAATTGATTGAATTTGGACACGGACACTATCAGATACCGACTAAGTGGTCCAAAAGTTAGGAATTAGCATATGGAGTCAAAGGTCCTTGATGCAATTCTTAGACGTAGTGTCGTGAGTCTATCTAATTAGGAGTCTCACACTATGATGAAACCTCAATGCAGTGCTTTTAATTTTTCAACAGTCGTTTATTTAAGATTAGTTCATGTTTAAATTATAAGATAATTGTTTAACATTATTAATTATTTGCATGCAAATGCATCTAATTATTTAATTCATTACCATTTTCTAAAAGCGGTTCATACATCTATCCAGTTGGTTCAGTAAAGTTAATTTCCGATAAAACAGGAATAGATGAACAAAATTCACCAGTTCATTCAATTGATGATAACGTCGATCATATTATAACTAATTTTGATTTAAACGAAGAAGATAAAAGGAATGTAAATAATCAACCGAGTAATAGTATTATAGAAAATGGTAAGTTATTTGTTTTATTATATTTTTGAGTTCTGTTGTTTATGTCCTATTTTAAAGTAGCATGTAAAAAAGTGAGATCATTAATTATCACCTCATGACCCTCATTTTCGTCTTTGAATCTCACGAGGCGGGATCGTGGATGCGCACTGATGAGGAGTCCCACGATAGGACGAAACGGTAGTCCAGTGCTTCCAGGTTTTTCGTGGTGGTCTAGCTTCAATTGACTCGTGATCTCGAAAAAATGAAGGTCATAAAATACTCTATGATCCTAACCTTGTTCATTTTTGGACAGATTTTAAACTTACAATTTGACGGAGAGTAAAAATGATAATCACTATGAATAGTATGTTGAATTGAAAATGGAAATTTTTAAGTAACCATTAGTTTGTAATAAGTATATTTTTGTTATATCTTAATGAGTAGGAAAATTGTATTTCTGACGTTTCGTGACTTGGTGTAAGTCACTTCTTGAGATTTATTTACTCTGAAGAGGTGGCCTACACTAAGTTACGAAACGTTATAAATGCAATTTTTCTACTCATTGGGAAATAACAAAAATATATTTATTATTAACTTGTTACCAGATGTTTAATTTATTTGAACCTATCAAATCCAAAATTGTTATTGATACCTAGAAAATCATTAGTTTATGTTAATTTCTTTTATCCTTTGAAAACTATGAGTCGGAGAATATGAGGATGTTATGGAATCTCGAACTTTAATATATGGTTTACACCTTTGTCTTATGACAAATATATTTCGTTTGTTTTTAGAAAACAAATTCTACAGCTTATGAACTTTGTCCATCTACTTTCTTATCCGTTTAGTGTACTAGTAAATGGAAATGTTGGAATCCTCTGGTCTCTAACCTTTATTAAACTTTGATTGATTAGTAGCATTTGTATTCACACTGTCGTGGAATTTGAAACATGAATGATTTTTAGATTTTAAATCGGATGTATTAGTTTAGTGATGTATTTTTTGTGTGTGTTAAACAAGTAGAATAGATATTTGATAGGAGGTTTAATTCCTAATGTTTTAACACATAAACTGTAGCTTGTATGATTCATCTCAATTACTTACTTGCACATGTTACTCCTCGCGAAGGAGCATAAGTCACTAATCAGTACTCTCCAATCAACTTTGTCTGGGACATTCCTTTCCAGTTGTTTCCAGTTGCTATTCAATCTTTTCATATGTGTTTTCATTTCCCGACGTAGTGTATTCTTTAACCTTCCTCTTTTTCATTTCCCTTCAGGATTCCAAATTAAGGCTTACCTTGTGATTCAATTTAATGATTTCTTTAATGTATGTCCTATTCACTTTCAATGTAATACTTTTAATGGTAACAACCTACAAAACATAAACATCAATTATGAATTGCATTATTTTCGAATGCTAACCTTTTGTTCTATTATTATCATCATTATTTTATTTAGAAAATCAACAATTACTGAATGAAGTATTTGTATACAAACAATCTACTAAACGTGGTTTCATTTCTTATTCTGTCATAAAATCTCTCATCAATAATCAAAATATAAATGAAACAATCCATATAGAAGAAGATGTTAAGACAATATCAATGATAGATGATTATGAATATTGTATTAATTTATCAAAGATTGAAAAATCAGTTCATTTATTTGAAGAATTTACAAATTCACCATGCCCTAATCAACTACAATTTGGTGGTAAATGAAGTGATCTGTTTTTTTATTAAAGATAAATTTGATGGTATTATGTTTGTTTGTTTGTTTTTTTTGTTGCTAAGACGATAAAACACTAGTGATTTGTTTGATAATGGAAGAACTTTGATTAAAGATAAACTTTTCATTATTTTTATTAGTAATATATACTGGTAAGTGTAAGATACAGACCACAACGAACAACATTTCAAAAGGAGGAAATTAGATTAACAATTTAGAAGATAATTTCAGTAGTTGAGATCATTAGTCAATTGAAGCTAGACAAAAACCTGGAAGCAATCAACGCCCGTTCCGTTATAGTACTGGACTTCTCAGAAGTGCACATCCACGACCCCACCTTGCGGGATTTGAACCGAGGACCTATCGGTTTTGCGCTCGAACGCTTGAGATGGCATCTAACGATGTTAATGTGCAAGTTCAAATAATCCGCAAAATTGAGCGACATATTCACTATTGTCATCAGTGAGTTACTATCTCACAACTGACCCGGTTGAACTCCACTGGTCAGTGCTTCTCACTAGAACTCCAGGATATACATAATCAGTTGAAGTTAATGAATATAGATCTTAACAATTCAGCTTAGAGAATCCAATACCTGAGTAACAAGTCTTTTCTATGATCTTAATCATAACTACACAGTTTAAACAGATTACTTATTGGTTTAATAGCGTTTACTTAATAATATTGCAAGTTAATGAGAAGATATGGGTTCCTCTTAATTTTTATCCATTTTCAAAGTTTCATCATAGATTTATCCAGTTTTCTAACTATTCCTAAAGAAATATGATCTTCCAAATGATCGTCATATAGATGTAACTTGTTGCTATAACAAACTATTATTTAGTGTTTATTAACTCCTTCCAACCAATATTAATACTTGTTCAGTTTAAAAATAAAGTTATTTAGCTGTGTAGAAAATCTTTGAGTGTTTAAAATTTGTAATATGTTAAAGGGAGTGTCTAAACAGTCAAATTTTGTATTTAGACTTAGTTGACAGCTACTTTCATAAAAGATTATATATTTTGTTTATCTACAATTAAAATTAGAACCTGTTAATTTAATCAAACAGATATGTGACTGTGATTGACAGGTATTTATCCACTCATAACCTCGAGGAATTACTTACTTACTTGCCTACCCTTGCTACCCTTCATGGAAAAGTATAGACCGCCCACCAGCTCTCTCCGTCCAACTCTGTCTTGGAAAATCCTTTCCAGTTGTTTTCAGTTGCTGTACATTCTTATCATATCTGCTTCCATTTCCCGACGTAATGTGTTCTTTGGCCTTCCTCTTTTCCGCTTTCCTTCAAGATTCCAAGTTACGGCTTGGCTCGTCATTCAGTTTGGTGATTTTCTCTATGTATGTCCTATCCACGTCCATAGTCTTTTTCTAATTTCCTCTTCAAATGAAAGCTGGTTATTCGTCTTCCACAGAAGGCTATTGCTGATGGTATCTGGAGAACAGATATTCAGTATCTTGCATAGAGAACTGTTTATAAATACTTGTGCCTTCTTGATGATGGTTGTAGTAAATCTCTACGTTTCACCTCCGTCCGGTGCTTTAACCGGGTTGGTGGACACAGAGAGTTCACCCAGAAGAGTTGGGAAACCCTGATTGCAAACCAAAGATGCGCATGGGCTCCAGTATCCTGAAGGAATAAATAGCGTATTAACCAGTCGTTGGTCACCGACTACCATCAGACTGCATCTCCTAACGTTTCTCCACTGCCTTGCGGATCAAACCTTTAGGTCGAAGGCTCCCGGTTTCGTCCTCTAAGGAAACCACCTGCTTCGGTTTGGGCGCCCGGGCAGTATTACAGCCCTCATACAAGTCGAATGATTTATGTTGCGCATATCTATTTGGTGCCTCTTTGTACCAGTGTTTATGTGTTTAAATAAATAAATAAGCTCCGTACAGTAGCACTGTCTTGATGTTCGTACTGAAGATCCTCACATTGATATTGGTTGACAGTTGTTTTGAGTTCCTTATGTTCTTCATTTGTAGGAATGAGGATCTTTGAGGACAAAATAATACCGAAGTAAATATTACAATGCAGAACCCCTCGAATCACCAATTCACTGTTGTATTCAACTAGGATAAGAATGGACGTAAGGTTAATAGGCAGGAGATTATGTTGGATTTTACTATTCTCTTCTAGAATGTTATATAAAAAATATAAACCTATTAAAAGACGAATTGCATATGCAATAAATTATTGTCTTTTAGTCTTCTTTATTTATCGTCAGTTATCTGATTTCATTTACAAGTTTTCGTATATTGGATTTTAAAAAGGCAATTCGATTTACCTACTGTAAATGTAGATAATTAGGTCTTTATAAAGCTAAGTCTTTTGATATCTATTGATTTAATCACGTTTTCACAATGGGAAGATTTGGACTATAATGTTTAGTTACATATACATGGTTTTACGTAATTGACTACAAATGATCCGTAAATCTGTTAAAGTCGTTTGTATCTACGCATATTCATAAGTCTAATGACTTATTTAGACTTAATCAACATTCATGACAAATTACCCATATTTTAAGATAACAAGACAATAACAACGTAAACCTATTTCCTTTTAAAGAGACTTATTTTAATATTTGTAGACTTGTAGAGAGAGTTTAAAAAAGAAACAGAATGTTCCAAATTAATTCCCAGTCAGAAGTTATAAGCAATTTAACTTGGGTAGATTACTCAATGTTCACAAAATATACAGATATCCATTTGGAGCTTAAAGAATTGTCTCTTCTTGATTAATTTTGAATTGTGAAGTGAACAGATAGTTCAGTAAGCATACACGACACCAAAAATGTTATATTACTAATCACTTTGAGTCTTGGACGAAACGTGCGTCCTGGATTTCACTGCCAGCCACTATCCATTTTTGCTTAAAATTAGTAATAATTCAGTTGTGACAGTAAAATTAGACAATATTAATCATTCCAATATGTTAACTGTGAACAATAAATTTGTAATGAAAAACATTGAGGCAAAGTGTTAACAACTTATCACTGGGCTTTACTTAATGTGAACTATGATGGCATTTCACGATAGGAAAGTTTCATAATTATTCATATGATGGACACTATCTTACTAACAAGTACCATCTAGCACGAAATCTAGGTCTTGGGAATTTTGATGATCACCTATCATCCAGTAGAATATGTTATCTTTGTCCAAAAACCAATGAAGGAAATAATTTACAATCTCATTTTCTATGTAACAATTATATCGTCAGATAATCGTGCTAATGGACTAACATGCAGAAATCTCAATCGATCAAGCCTTCATGCTTTAGACGGTTCATATAAATCGGATTATTTTAAATGAACAGATTAGAAAGCATGTTCCCATACAAATAAAATATCTACTATAAATTTATTTTAAACATAATGATTTCGACTGATCCTTTAACACATTCAAATAGAGAATAGTGACACTGACTATCTGAAGATCTTAGAATAAATGATTATTGATTAACAGGTTAGACATTGTTCTGTATGAGAATGATAAATAGGAAGATTCATTCAAGTGAATATATTTCTATTCACATAGCTAATGATGAGAGTGAATGATAAATTCGTTAAAGATGTATTTATACTAAAAGAAAGTTTACTCTAATTGTTTTTATGGTGTGATATTTTCGCATTATTTGAACAAATACATAAAGTCAATTGAAGTTGTTTAAGTTTTCTTTACAATTTTTTAAATTTTAATAGTTGAGATCATGAGTCAATTGAAGTTAGACCATCATGGAAAACCTGGAAGCACTGGACAGTCATTTCATCCTATTGTGGGACTCCTCAGTAGTTCAGCCGGCTCTGTTGTGAGATAGTAACTCACTGAAGACAATGGTGGATATGTCGTTTAATTCCGTGGATTAGTTGAAGTTAGACATTAACACCATTGGATGCTGGCTGGCTCAGTGTTCTAATGGTTAGGTCCTAGGTTCGAATCTCGCTGAGCGGGGTCTTGGAAGCGCACTGCCGAGGAGTTCCATACTAGGACGAAACAGCCGTCCAATGCTTGCAGGTTCTTCCATGGTTGTCTAGTTTCAATTGACTCATAATTTTAATTGTTAATTTTGTAAAATAATATTTTTCTGTATTTTATCAGCTTGATCTGATCAGAAGTCATCAGTTTGGAATATTATATTTCTACTGCCAATTAGGTCCATTCATATATGCCCTCTAAAATTAGTTCGTCTTACTGTTAACTTATCTAATTACAGTAGTCTTTTATTATATTCTTTCTTGATTACGAAAAATAATTGAATAGTCATTATTAAATCATTGTTAAACGAAGGTTTTGATAGTTCCGTTGTTACCGTTATACCAGACTCGATCGATTGAATTTGATTAGCACTGATTACAACAAATTATTACAACACTTTATTTTGAATTGATAAATTAATCTGTACGTTATTCTACTCGACAATTAATGAGTCTCGGGTTCTCTTCTCAAAGGACTCCTGGGTGCACTTCGTTAAGGAGTCTCATACTAGGAAGAAACAGATGTTTATTGCTTCCTGGTTTTCACTGGTTACCTATCCATAATTAGTCCTTGATATAAATCATAAAATTTATTATGTATTGTAATCTGTTGATTGCTTCTTTTATGAAAATAATAATTTTCTGTGTTAATGAATTGCATGTTGAGTTTTACTCAGTTTTATTGCTCACTTCATATCTTGAATTGTATGACCTGTTTGTTTTTCCTACTCGTCCAGAACAATTTATTCTAGTCGTTGAAGATATAACACCACGGAATGAAGAGGAGAATGAAGAATTTCATGTGGATACGATTCCAGATCATATTTTGAGAACACCAGAACGTCTTTCACCGTTATTTATCAAGTTATGTTACATTTCAAGGGAATAATTTATTAAATGATTTTGAAATTTAGGAAAACGTATAACATTCTATTACAATATACATATGTGTTGTTATTCCATCTTACATTTTGAAATAAACGTTTAATAAAAGCGAATTCTGAGTATACAGAATGTAGCTAATAGTGGAATCCAGGATGCGCGTCTAGTTTTGTTTTGAACAAGTCAGTTGATTTTCACCTCAGGATTCGAGTTCATTATCTTTTGCTCTAAACCCCAACGTGTTATCGGCTTAGTTACTTAGTCTAAATAGCCATTCACTTGTGCAGCGGATATGAATTTGAATTTAATTTGTAACCGTTTAAGTTATCCCTACGTTGACATTTGAGGCAATTAGGATTGATCAAATTTCAGTTAAAGTATCAACAACAAGGTAAACCAAAGCACTACAAATTCAACGTAAACTTACTTCATCTTCTAATTATGACATGAATAGTTAGGTTGAAAGTTAACTAATATCAATAATGTTGTAACATAATTTTGTCGACAATAATCTTACACATAAATAGTTTGAAGATGTTTAACATGCATTAAAATACTGATCACCCACCCCCACCCCCAAATAAAAAAGCGAATTCCTCGTAAGATAAAGTGGTTCATATTTTACCATTAGTCCACTTCATAAAGTCACAGAATATTATTTTGAAGCACACATGGGCATGTGAACATTTTATCTAAAATTTCAAACATAATAGAAATAATCGGTTCAAGATCATGATGTAGTCTGGCTTGAAAGTGATTTTAATGTCTCACTGTTTATTTTTCTTTCAATCTGTAGTATTTGTGTGACTATCTCATCCACTCAATTTGTTATAAAACTAATCAGTAAACACATTAACAATCTTGCAAGAATACAAAACTGTGAAATCGTTATTCCGGTTAAAGAAAGTTTAGTGGCCCGTTATTTTGACGCCAGTTAGATCGGATGATGATGCCGACAGGTTCATCACTTTAGTGGCCCGAAGTTTGGCTACAATTTGATCGTGTAATTATCGTTATCGAATGAAATATGTCGCCAATCCTCGTAAATAATCATCGACTAAATTGGTCCGTTTGTAAGCTAGAATAAGTTATTTGGGCTTCATATAGTGCCAGCCACCACAAAAGTATTTGACCTGTTGTTAAGCAATTGTTCCGTTGTACTATTTAAATTTGGATTAATTTTAATTTGGTTATTTATTCTCTGACGAATTGACTTACACTAAGTCACGAAACGTCAGAAAATCTAATTTTCTACTCATTGGGATTTTACAAATATATTATTTATTTATAACAATCTACTCAATGCTCAATTTATTCGAAATTATCAAATCAAATCTTGGTAAAGATATTATAACATTAGAATGTGTGAATAATCGATGAAGTCAATCTAGCTGGATCAGAAATATTTTGTTCTGTGGATTTTCTAAAACATTTTTCATATAGATTGTCATAGCTTGAAGAGAATTATCACTGTTAACTAGCATACCAGGTGAGTTAAAAATAAAGCAAAATGTTCAATACTTCAAGCATCTCATTACTAGCCAGTTCATTTGAACGCTCAAACACATAATTCAATGTTTTCGCCACTGACTTTATTTTTAAGTTGATTTACTTCACATTTTCCCGTAAGAACTATAATAAGTTCAATTCATTTTGTATTGGTTGTTTGAATTGTAGTGGCTGTGCTTCGATAATTAATCACCCTCGAACCGTTATCGTATAATCTTCAACGATGTTTGAAATCAGAAGGCAAAAAGAAGCAGCTACTACAGTTTATTTAGTAGATGATTCGGACCAGACAGCAGAGAGGCAAAATGAATGAGCAAGCGAACTACGATTGTAGCAGTAGCAAGTAGTAGTAGTGAATGGATGCAAATGTACACATATATATATGTATAGGAAAATGGATGAGTCAGCGAATAGATTAACCAGTTAATAATGAAGCTAGCCGAATGAATACATGCGTAGGCGCTAAACAATGTTCAAGCATATGTATTTCATACAAGGATAATAATAAAGATAGTACAACAAGTTGTTATATCATGGATGACTTTGTCCATTAAATAGGTCAACAAAAGGCCTTGACTGAACTAAACTCAATTGCACGTGAGTCGCTATAATAGCTCCCCCCTGCAAACAAAGATATATGGAAAAATGTCTGTGTTTGCACAAAAAAATAGTAAACTGAATAGGGTAGTTACAATCTTTTGAAAAAAAATGGTTTGTACAAAATTAAGATGAAGTTAGTGTGTGCTGTACATTTGGTTTGTGCCCGTCCGTGAGGTTATAAAAAATAATAGCAATAAATAGAAGGAATGCGGTATTGCTTTACATTTTAAACAGAAATTATACGTGTAAGTGTAGGGGTACATAATATATGTTGAGTTTTATAGCGTATAACATGAAATTAGTAATGCATGTGTAAACAATGAAGTGGAAGTTATAATTAATATTTAAAATAGTAGAAGATTATTAATAGAAGATTGCAGCGACATAACGTTGGGGCCATCTTACTCTTCGACCAGACTTTGTGGTTACTGGATTCTCTTTGTTTGTGTTCGTCGATGTCGTTGATGATTGGAACTGACGTTTCGATGATTCAACGGTTTTCGCAGTATCTGTCTGTACTGGCTGATCGCAGGCTTCGATGAAAGCTGGTTTGACTCGGTCGATGCTAATTACATCCGTTTTTCCAGCTTTGTCTACCGTAATAGTTTTGTCGTCTCTTTTAGTCACCTTAAATGGACCATCGTAGGCCGGTTGTAAGGGACGTTGCACATTATTCCTTCTTATAAACACATGGGTACTGTCACTTAGTTGTTTGGGTATGTAGACACGGCGTTGATGTTGTCTTGGAAGCGTTATCCTTAGACTACTCATATGCTGCTTAAGACGCTGTACATAGTCCGCTATATCAGTTGGGACGCTTTTACCTGCGGTGAAAAACTCTCCTGGCAGACGTAGTGTGGTTCCATAAACCAACTCTGCTGGGCAGCATTCTATATCTTGTTTGATTGTTGATCTTAAGCTCAACATGACTAACGGTAGCTTGCTGGCCCAATCATTATTGCTGATGACAGCTGTAAGAGAAGCTTTAAGTTGCCGATGCAATCTCTCTACCATACCATTCGACATCGGATGGTAGGATGTTGTGCGAATTCGTTTGATTCCGAGTAGTTCTGTGAGTTGTTGGAAGAGGCGGCTCTCGAATTGAGCTCCTCTATCGGTTGTAATATTAGTAGGTACGCCATAATGGGAAATCCAATGCTCTACTAGGGTTTTTGCGATAGTTTCGGCTGTAATATCTTTTATAGGCACAGCTACAGGCCATCGTGTGAATCTATCAATGCAAGTGAAAATGTAACTGAAACCATTCGAAACCGGCAGTGGTCCTATAATATCGATATGTACGTGCTCGAATCTGTTATCGGGATGACGGAAATGACCTACTGCGGAACTGGTGTGGCGATGTATCTTAACTCTCTGGCATTTTATACACGCTTGAGTCCAATTACGAATATCCCGATTCATACTTGGCCATACGAAACGTTCGCTGATTAGTTTGATGGTGGCCTTTATTCCGGGATGCGAAATATTGTGCATGGCTTCGAAAATGTTTCGCCTTAGCGGCTTTGGAATAAATGGTCTTGGTTGACCTGTAGAAATATCGCAGGTGATGCTTACTTCTTCCAATGGAGTTTCTTTGAGAACTAACGAGGTTGTATTGGCAGACTTTAGTCTGTTTAACTCGACGTCGATATTTTGTAGTGCTGCTAACTTGTGATAATCGATTTCAGACTGGATGAGAGCGTTGACCATCGTTCTGGATAACGCGTCTGCCACTTCGTTACTGTTACCTTTGATATACTGTATGTTGGACGTGAATTGGGAAATAAATTCTAATTGTCGGATTTCCCTCGGCGAGTAGTTGTCCTGTTTGGCGTTCAATGCTTTTGTGAGGGGTTTATGGTCTGTATATACTGTAAAAATGGTACCCTCAATCATATGTCGGAAATGTTTTATTGCCAAGTAAATCGCTAGGAGTTCTCTTCCGAAAGTACTATATCTTGTTTGTGTCGGATTCAGTCTTTTCGAAAAAAATGAGAGCGGTTCCCATATGCCATTTACTAATTGTTGTAAAACGGCTCCTACCGCTACGTCTGATGCATCCGTCATGATAGCTAACGGTGTTTCGCTCTTTCGTCTAGTTAGTGTCACTTCTTTATTTAGTGCTTTTTTAGCGTTCTCGAATGCTTGAATTGCGTCTGGTGATAATTGGAATGTCCGTGCGTTTCCGCGTAATGCATCTGTTAGTGGTTGCAATATTGACGCGCAATTCGGGATAAATCGTCTGTAATAATTTATTAACCCGAGAAATCGGCGTAACTTTTTCCATGAGTCGGGTAGGGGATAATTCCTAATGGCGTCGACTTCTGTTGCTATTGGTGTGATGCCTTGGGAAGTTATATTGTGACCTAGGAACTGTAAAGATTCTTTTCCGAATTCACACTTCTCAACATTTATAGAAATGCCATGTTCTCTGAGTCGTATAAATAATTGCCGTAGTTGTTGTATATGCTCATCTTTAGTGGTGCTAGCTACTAATAAATCGTCGATATACGCGTATACCCCAGGTAAACCTCTAATGACCTGGTCGATAAACCGTTGAAAGGTTTGTGCCGCGTTAGTCAGTCCAAAAGGCATACGCAGGAATTCATATAGCCCAAATGGGGTTGTTACTGCTGTCTTCGGTATGTCTTGAGGGGCAACAGGAATGTGGTAGTATGCTCTGACTAAGTCGATCTTCGAGAAGATAATAGTGCCCTCAATACTGTAGGTGAAATCATGAATGTGCGGTATAGGGTATCTGTCAGCTACTGTTTGTTTGTTCAGTGCTCTGTAATCTCCACATGGCCTAACCTCTCCATTCTTTTTCGGGGCCATATGTAGCGGGGATGCCCACGGGCTGCTCGATGGCCTTATAATGCCTAGCCTCATTAGCTTGTCGAATTCCTGTTTTGCGATGGCTAGTCTTTTGGGATCTAACCTTCTTGGTCTTGCATTGATTGGTGGACCATTCGTTACGATGTGATGCTGAATAGAATGTTTGAGATCCGCTTTATTGTATGTTACTTTTACGAGTTCAGGGAACTCCCTTAACAACAATTTATATGGATCACCACGACTTTTATCTATCACGAGGTTCATTGAAACGGCTTCCGTAAGTATTCCTCTTATCGAAGTGGTTTGACTGCCGTTTATAAGTCTGTGTCGTCTAGAGTCTACTAGCAGGTCAAAGTTACATAAGAAATCTATGCCTATTATGGGCATCGATACGTCTGCTATGACAAAGTTCCAGCGGTATGAAGCGCCACGTCCAAAATCTAGGGACAATTTCCGTTTACCATATGTCTTAATGTCTGATTTGTTTGCTGCTCTTAGCACTAATGACGGATTAATGTTTTTTCTTTCCTCGTTAAATGGAGGTACTACGCTAATTTCCGCTCCAGTGTCAACTAAGAATTGTGCGCCAGTGGTTCGGTCTTGTATATAAAAGAGGCGACTATTTTCAGGCATTATATGCGTTGATGCCGTTGCCATTGATACTCGTGGGTATCGGTTACTAGCCCTGTTAAATTCACAAGGTTGTAGGCACTTTCTAGCCCTGTAGCCGAACATTTGATGATACCAACATATCGCGGGAGTTGTGCGTCGTCTAGAAGTTGACCGGGTCCTTTCACGCGAGCGATCTCGCGATGACCTTCGAGGCTTTTCTCTCTGCGTTAATTCTGTGAGTTTGCGGCATAAAACATTTATTTCCTTCTGTAGAGTATCAAGTCTATCGTCTACCGTCACGTTGTGTAGTAGAGGGCTTGTTTGCTTGCTTCTTTCGTATATTCTATCGGCTATCTTTGCTATATTGTCTAAATCAGCATCCGTATCTCCCACAGCTAGGATCTGCTGTATATTTGCCGGGAGTCGGCGGAGCCACAGTTGATAAAAGAGATTATTGTCGATGTGTCTATCGCCAAGTAGACTTTTCATATAATTTTTTAGCTGTGATGGGGTTCTATCTCCAATTTGTACTTGATTAAGGAGTTGTTCGACGGCTTGTTGGTCACTGAGAGAGAGAGTTTTAATTACTGCCTCTTTTAGCACGTCGTATGGTTTTTCTGTGTCTGGTTTTGCTAGTGCCTCTCGAACGCTGTCAGCTACTTCGTCTGGGAGTAGTGTGCTTGTCAGGCCGAACTTATCCTTTTGCAAAAGAATGCGGTTAGCGAGAAAATAATTTTCAAGTCTTATAAACCAAAGTTTTGGGTCTGTGATTTTAAAAGAAGGGGCAGGGAGGTTAAGAGACCTCACGGACGAGGCTTGCTGTACGCTTGAAACTGTGTTTTCATAAGACATGCTTATAAAAATTAAGTAGCACACGAAAATAACTTAACAGTCACAAGGAAAAATAGGTGGGCAAAAACAATGATAATAAAAAAATGGCACAATTTATAAAATGGAACAGACTTACTAAATTGCACCAATATATCAATTGTTTATGGATAATTGTTATTTATTATGATTATAATCGTCACGTTTAATAATGTTTGCGAAATAATGTAAGTGTAATTAGAATAATAATATAAATCCACAGTTGTAATTATAGTTCATTTGATAATCCAAATTGAGATGAAGGTAGTCGGATTTTTGGAATTTGATTATTTCGCCAAAATTCGCTTCCCGTTCTCACGTCGGGATTACCAATTCTGTAGTGGCTGTGCTTCGATAATTAATCACCCTCGAACCGTTATCGTATAATCTTCAACGATGTTTGAAATCAGAAGGCAAAAAGAAGCAGCTACTACAGTTTATTTAGTAGATGATTCGGACCAGACAGCAGAGAGGCAAAATGAATGAGCAAGCGAACTACGATTGTAGCAGTAGCAAGTAGTAGTAGTGAATGGATGCAAATGTACACATATATATATGTATAGGAAAATGGATGAGTCAGCGAATAGATTAATCAGTTAATAATGAAGCTAGCCGAATGAATACATGCGTAGGCGCTAAACAATGTTCAAGCATATGTATTTCATACAAGGATAATAATAAAGATAGTACAACAAGTTGTTATATCATGGATGACTTTGTCCATTAAATAGGTCAACAAAAGGCCTTGACTGAACTAAACTCAATTGCACGTGAGTCGCTATAGAATCTTCCCATTGATGTTTAAGACTGCAATTGATCAGTGGCTACCAGGACTCAGTAGCTAAGTGAAGTTTGAAGTGAACGGTACTGGGTTGGGATCCCGGATTGAAAATCAAATCTGGGATGAAGATACATCCAACTGGTCAGTCCCAAATAGGATGAAACGCGTGTCCTGGATTCTACAGCTAGCCACCATCTATATTTGCTTATAGTGTTTGTGAATTAAGGCAATATCGGGGCAATCCTCACAGGATGCACATATGCCAATTACAGAATAACTAATTGCAATCCTAAACATCAGTGTGAAGATTCAAACAAGCAATACAAAATGAACCAAAACTTCGCTACGTTACACAAGCTAGTTGCTATGTAGATTTAGTAGCTAACTAGATAACGTGATGGCATTAGAAGCAAGCAGTATTTTATTCGAGTCCTGGAGTGAATATTAAATCTGGGATGCAGATACATCCAACCGACAAGTCCCAAGTAGGACGAAATATGCATCCTTGACTTCACTGTTAGCCACTATTCTTCTTTGCGTATAATGTTAGGTAAGTTCATCTTGAAGTAGATTGAATACTTGAATTATGATTGCTATTTACTAAAATGAATTGTGAAACCGATTCATAGTAACAAACTAATTTTAAAGTTAATAAATAATTTTGTGAATATATCTTTCAAATAACATCGTTAATTAAATTGAACAATAAACACGTTCAGTTTTATTTATTCTATTATCTGATTTAAATAATTTACATTCATTCTGATATTTTCACATTATATAATTGTTATCAGAATAGGGTTTTATGGAGATTTTAGTAGTTTTAATAGTTGAATCCATGAGCCAGTTGCAGCTAGATAACCATGAAAAACCTAGGGGCACTGGAAAATCGTTCCGTTTTGGTGTGGGACTCCTCATCTACGACCCCACCCCGCAGAATTGGTCGAAGTAAGACAATAACACTGTTGGATACTGGCTCAGTGATCTAGAGATTAGGAGTTCGCGCGCAAGACCGATAGGTCCTGGGTTTGAATGCTGAAGGAGCGGGATCGTCAGTTAGCTACAACGTAGAACCAGGCACATATACGCATCGGTCCGGGTTGCCATACCGCATTAGCACAGCAAGATGAACACCGGATTCATAGGAGTGGTTAGGTCAAAGGTGGTAATATATAGGAGAAAGATATGAAACAATTTTAATCTCACAGTTTAAAGAAAGACAGAGAATGTATAAATCTACGCTGTTGTGTTCGATTCTGAGCCATGTCATCCAGAGCCTCCAATCATTGGTTACGATAGTCACGCGGACCTCGACCAAGTAGTCTGCATCTACCAAAATGGCTCAGACTAGAAGTTAGTGACTTTGTGGACTGATGCCACATTATGGTTTGGCCAACCCTAACTTTATTCCAGCCATCCCCAATACTATTCAGGATTGCGCGTCATGATAATCGGTGTTCAGGCATACGTGACACGTGGACCAACCATCTCAGTCGATGAAGATTCACAACCTCATCAACTGATTTGCCATTATTCCCAAATACTTTGTGTCCAACCTCATTATTACTTACCTGGTGATCCCAGCAGATGCGAGCAATATTTCTATGACATCTGTGATCAAATACTAGTAACTTACGAGTATCTTCTACTCTTAATGGCCACGTTTCTCAGCCGTATAAGTATAACAGAAAAAACAATCGCCCATTATACTCGTCCCTAAATTTAAGGAAAGATATATCACCTTAGCCATAGGTGATGTAAGTTGAAAAAAAGTCAAACGAACTTTCTGAATCAGGATCGTAAGCTGTTGCATTCTAGGACAAAAACGGCCGTACATTACTTCCACGGTAGTTTAACTTTAATTGACTCATGAATTCAACTATTATATAATTGTTTTAATTTTCTATTAATTTTATCAATCATTTAAGCCAAATAAAAATGTACATAAACTGTAAAATAGACTTTATTTATTCAAACAGAACAGTTTAATATAATGTATATAATAAACATTTTGCTGGGAGGGGGGGTGGAGGTGGAAAAAAATAAAAGTTCCCATTATTCACAACGGAAATTTATGAAGTTATTTATCATTAGTAAGATTAAATGTAAAAAATAATAAATCAATGTGGAAATTCTTTTTTCTTTTTTTTTCTTTTAAAAAAAAGAAAATTAAATCGATAATCTGTATTTGATATATATTAAAGAAAAGAAAACTTTTATTTTTTTTTATATCTTCTTTATCAATTGTCCATATCTATTCAAAACCTGATGGATTATTTACAGATGACAATTGTGATTCATTTTTATTCAAGCTGAAATAAACAAACAGAAACAAAAAGAGAATAGAATTTAAGGTGAATGACAACAACAACGACAACAACAAGTTGAATAATAAATAGTGAATGAAAAAAAATAGCATTTTACATGTTTATATTCTTTGTTTATTATTCGGCGATCTGTTTGAATGTCTGAGTTATCTGTTTCTTGCCATTTAGATATATTGAGAGATTATCTGTTTTTTCTCGTTTGTTTTATTACATCATTATGTCTATTAGTCGCATATAACTATTCAAGTGTGTTTGTGAAAAGTGTACAACATTTCACTGTAAAAGTTAGTAAAGAACACAATCAGAGACATCATAGTTGCTGGTATTATACATCGAAAAGAATGTACATTATTGAAATGTCGATTGACTGGTCTGCTAACATTTAACTGGTAGCCACTCAATATTTATTGCAAGGGTCGATCAAGAAATAAGAAAGGGAAACTCGCTGAAATACTTTGTGCTGAGAAGTCTATATTGTACCAAATGCATAATACTGAATAAAGCCATTAATAATAATAATAATTTCAGTGGCCCAAGATCTCACTCCAGTAATATCGTATGATTGATTGTTATTGAAATATACATATCGGTAATCCTCGTATGTAACTATCGACTTAAATCATGTTAATGGATAATGGAACTAAATAAGTCCAATACGAGAATTAATTTTGAATATATATATATTGCACATTCGTTGGTCGGAAAGAGAAGTAGAACAAAATTACGCGAAATAAAGAAGGCGAGTGAGCCAAATTGATTTAATCAAGCGTTAATCGATATTTGTGGTCAAACAAAAGTAAGCTGCAGACATGTGATGAGTAAGACAAGAAATATACACATATATGCTTATATAAAAGCAATCAGGGTTGACAAGCGAGTAATTAACAAGGTCATAATGTGACTCCAGAAGAATGAATAAATTGGCCTGTTCGTAAGCTAGAATAAGATATGTGGGCTTAGCATAGGAACCGACACTACACCATTGTACCGTGTGATTTAGTCACTCCAAACTCCAGTGGGTCTGTTCTTAAATTTTATTGAGGGAATCATATCAAATATTTATTCTGATGAATAAATTTACTATGTGTATTTCAAAGTTTACATGAAGGCAGTTAATAATCGGTAATAATGTTAACATGTGCATTGAGAAGGACCTGATACATATGAAATTCACCATTAATCAATGATCAATCAATTGTACATACATCTCAGTCCTACAGGGGGTTGATCGTGGCCCGGATAGCCCAGTGATAACGCTTCTGACTATGAAGCTGAATGTCACGGAATCGATTCCGTCAGGGAGTACCGATTTCCTTAAAGTTACAGGTACATCTTGCTGACGAGTGCCAAGCAGCACGAAACCTAGGTTCAGTGTTTACTGTTGACTACCTCCAACCATTATTTTATTCTATAGTTAGGTTTTATATTTCCTGGTAGATGTTATCTATCAATGCAGACAATTATTGAGTACTAATAAATACAAAATCTAGATGAATAACTTTTTACAGATTCATTCAAGTTATTTAACAGTCGAATTTAATTTACTGATATACTATGTCATCCAACTTAGTGGTTGTTTTGCCCTCATTAGTTTAACGAAACTTGACTTGAGCTCAGTAGATAGTAAACTTGTATCAGGAAGAATCTTCAGAATCTATAAAAATCCCAGTATGTAATATACAAGACTAATACTTTGGCATAATTAATTGTTTTGAATTTTCTAGACTATTTTTAAATAGTTTGGGATTTTGTTTTTTTTCCAAATGTTGTTGTTGGTGAAAGATTGATATGTTGGCGGAAATGTCAATTCAATAATTTGTTACTCTCTTTTTATATTGTTTTCTAATACAATTTAGTCCACCAATCATACATTTCTTTTTTAAATGTACCTTGTCAATAGAATGTCTGTTTTGAAAAAATGTTACAATAGTGAAGATTTGTAGCACAGATGGATGATTTTGATAGACTTTTGTTCATTGAGCTGGATGGTTTAGTCATGGAGCTTCAGGCGATGAGATGTCGTTTAGAAGAACAATAAAAGCTCCACGACCAAGCCATCCATCTCAGAGAACAAAACTCCATCAAAAGTTACAATCTTCTTATGTATAATAAAAATATTACCTCTTTTCATTTATATGACAAATTTTATTTGACAACCCAGAGTAATTAATTAAAAGATACATTTAATTTGTAATTAATAGTTTGTATATTTTTATAGGATTGATTGTTTAATGTTTCTCTTTGGTATGATCAATTCTATAGACAAATTTAATAGACTTCCTTAAACATTGTATCTGCCAAAAAATAATTATTCACTAAACTGGTGTTTCATTGTGGACAAAATAATAATAATAATAGTAATAGTGTGGTGTGTGCTACGTATATTGACATAAGCAGTATATGATGTTAGTCGTGAACAGAAGGTCTGGCAGCAGATAGACAAGAGGATCGAACAGTAACGAATGGAAACAGAATGGAATTTGTATGAAAATGCAAGAACAATGAAGTCTGAATCATTTTAAGACACTCAGTGGACATTTTGCAAATTAAGCATTTACTTTATGATTGCTAGATTTTATTAACAAGTCCTGTAATTTCGTGTTAAACACATTCGGTTGTCCCCACTGGTGTTCTTGTTCACTACAATAGTAATAATAGTAATAATAGTAAAAGGAGCTTTTAGTATGATTAAGAAAACATAGCAATAATCCCTGGTTATTCAAATGTCTTAGGATATAATTATTAATGATTATCCAGTCAAAAAAATTATGAATATAAATCAAATAACTTTGTTACTGACACTTCTTAACGTAACGTTGGTCAAGTACTAACCTACCGATAGTGTAGCGGCTTTTCCGTAATAAAAACTAGAAAAAAAAGCACTACTCCTGTTAGACAAATAAATCCACATATCCGACATCCAATTTCAGTCAGTTACTGATATTGTACTAGTTCATTTGTTCGATACTTTTCAGTAAGATAAAGTAAAAAAGAAAATAACTTTGAATATCAGACATGAATCATCTAAACCAGTCGTAAGTAACTGTAGTTAAGAGTGAGTTGTCAATCAATTTGTCTACTTAATAAATGAAAACAGAACATTTGATTTATTATTTTTTCTTAATACCGAAATAAATAATAAAATATTTTCTTCTATACGAACACGTAAATTCAGTGATTCATATACTGATATAGTAATAATAATGACGATATTCTAAGTGGTTCAGCTGTGACGTGGAACACTACTACAACCGTCAACAAGAAGGTACAAGTATGTGTAAATAGTTGTCTACGCAAGATACTCAACATCCATTGGCAGGATACCATCAGCAAGAGCATTCTGTGGGAGACGAAAAACCAGCTTTCAGCTGAAGAGGAAGTTAAAAAAAACATGTTGGAAGTGGATAGGATATATATTGAAGAAATCACCAAACTGCATCACGAGACAAGTTCTAACTTGGAATCCTGAAGGGGAACGGAAAAGAGAAAGGTCGAAGAACACACTGCGTCGGGAATTGGAAGCAGACATCAGAAGATTGAATAGCAATTGGAAAAAACTGGTAAGGATCGCTCAGGACAGGGTTGGATGGAGAGTGCTGCTAGGTGGCCTATGCTACTCCACGAGGAGTAACAGGCGTAAGTAAGTAAGCATACATATACATAAAATTTTATTCAATAATAAGATAATGACTTATGACTGTTATAAACTTCATTTAAATTGTTGAAAATTAATGAATAATTTAATTAATATGATGATATTATTATTTGATAACGTTAATGGGAATAGATTGACCTTAGGAGAATCAGGGTTTATTTTGTTATTCAAATAACTTCAAACTCAAATAAGTAGTTATTCAGTTAAAAAAAGAACACATGTTAATGAGATGGTGGAGATTTGTAGCTCAGGTGGATGATTTTGGTGAAGTGGAGCTTTCATCGTTCTTCTGGTTGACATCATCAGCACAAACTCCAGATAGAGGTGAAGCGTTTCAAGTAGTTCCTCAGCTTTCTCGATGTATTCTTCTTTGTCCATAATCACTGTGGTGCATCCTTTGTCTGCTGGAACTATGACAATATCTTTTCTAGTTCTGAGTTCCTTCAAAGCTTTTTGTTCTTGTGAGGTTAGCTGGATGTTGTCCTTCATCCGCTGAGTTAGCGCCTCACTTCTATCTGAAGTTTGTGCTGATGATGTCGTTCAGAAGAACGACGAAAGCTCCACGATCAAACTATACAGCTCAGAGAACGAAACTCCATCAAAAACACATGTTAATCAATATTGTCAGGAATTTTAAACTTTTAATGAGTGAATAACTGAAATGTTATAGGTTATATTTAAGTTGATAAGTTAAAAAATAATAATAAACCAGAACTAGTCACTATGAGACACAGTTTACAAACAAAAATGTTTTACAATTTTGGATTGTAAGATCTTCATTCTTTAAACACATGTTCGTTGTTGAACGTTTTCAGGTCAACGAAGTGTTGCAGTTTCTGAAGTCAGGGTTCCTGTCGATTTTTCTGTTAAGTTTCGAATTTGAAATTAGCTTTCAAAGGGGTAAATATTTTAAAGAAATTTATTGGAACTTTTAAAGCACTATACAAATTAATCTCCGTCTATATAATGACTAATAATGACCACTCAACCTTGTTTCAAACTACCAATTAAGTGATTCCGTTAAACTTGATCAGTGATGATATTTTTGAAATAGTTTTGATCTAAGTGCATTGTGAAGTTGATATCCTATGATGTGAAGAAATATTTCTGATCTGGATCATATAGATTATTTCATTGAAAAGTATCAGAAAACAAAGGATTTTCAAATAGCTTTATATAATCAGGTGAAAGGTGATTCAAATTAATTTATAGGATTAAACGAAATCTACATCTACTCTGTTGCTTGAAGATAAATCACTAGAACAAGCGGAAAAATTGCTTATTCTGATGTGTGTGAAGTTGCTTTTAGTCTGTAAAAGAGGACTGCAATTTACATACTAAAATGCAGAACAACATATATCAACCTGGGACCTCTTTTGTACTACTATGAATCTATTTTGTATGTTAATACTAAAGTTGACAAAATATTAGTGTAAAATCTTCCCAAAAACTGACATTAACTAACTATTTTGCTGTATTAATAGCTCTATTTGGTGGTCAGATCATGTAATAAATATCTAGTATCCTAAGTTTAAAATGAAAAAAGAACTAATTTATGTATAATAATATAGTTTGAATGCGTATTAATTTTCTTACAAAATGTCTACTCACTTATTTTCAGAACATATTTCTACATGTTGAAATGGTTCTTCATCAGATCCTTCATATGCATATTCTAAAGGTGATTCATTATTTTTACAATTATCTTCATTATTATCATCATCATTTTCAGCGGCTTCTATACGGGACTTGAGTAAATCACCAATATCTGTTCTACTTGTTGATGGCTCATTCATTTTTAATTGAATCTCTTCATGAATACATTGTAATGGTTCTTCTTTTATATGCATACCTGTAAATGAGGTTTTTCCAATCAAAAAGATTGTAAAATGATGATCTTTTTCAGTAATTATCTCTTGAAACTAATACCAATCTATACCGTGAGTTGTAAGTGTCTAAATCTTACCTGCAAAAAATAATAGTAACAATTGCCGTTTATAAAAAATTAATTCTTATTCTCTTTATCGTTGTATTGTAAGATGAGTTTACCATAACAAAAAGAGATGATTATCTTATTCTCTGTTTGAGAATTTATAAATTCAGTAGTAAAGAAATATCGGTATAGGATTGTGGAGATCATTAAGTTTTTGATTGAGATCATGAACCGATTAATGTTAGACCACCACAACCCTATACTGATAAATACAATCTACTCATTAGTGACTAGCTTTGTGAGAGAATTCTTGGAATTCTAGAAAGAAGCCGTGATAAGTGAAGCTAATCCATGTCAGGTAGAGACAGGCACAATGGAAGATGGACGCGCAATTACGTAGATTGGTTAAGGTTGGATGCCGGCTAAGTGGTCTAGTAGCTTAAGCGTTCGCGCGACTGAGGGCCATGAGTCCTAGTCGTTTGGGTGCAGGATCGTGGATGCGCACTGCTGAGGAGTCTCATAATAAGACGAAACGGCTGTTCAGTGCTTTCAGATTTTCAATGATGATCTAACATCAATCTGTTCATGATCTCAACCAAACAAAAACAAAAAAATAATTTGTCTGATAGTTTGTAGTCGATATATATAAAGCTTATTGTAGACCAATGATTTTGAGATTAGGAAGAAGATTTGTAGCTCAGGTGAATGATTTTGATGACTTCTACCTGAAGTTTGTGCTGATGATATCAACCAGAAGAACGATGCGATCTGCACGACCAAACCATCAAGCTCAGACAACAAAACTCCATCAAAACCAATGTTTTTAAAAGCAATATCTCGGTGATAACAAAATCAAAGAATATTTTTACTTTACAAGAATATATAAACTTGTGATGTTTTAATATGAACAGACTTCACTCTCAAAATTATTATGTTAGAATCAACTTTCCAATGAATTAAACACAACACTGACTTTGTATTAGTGAAAATTAAAGTCTAGACAACCTTGAATTTAAAGTTGTATTTTCTCTTTTCTTTCAATTAGTCGTTAGAAAACGATAGTTATTATTATTATTTCACATTCCTGAACACTATATGGATCATTTAACTGAAGCGGATGCTAACAATTATGTAATATTTTATTTAAAACTCTTTCATTCATTCTATTAAACTTATTCATATAGGATGATATATGTTTAAAATGAGAAAATTTCACCAATATAACAGCCCGTTGTACGCTGTCGTATTGAAAATCTCAGATTATTGATTTACTGCACACTAACAGAGGTAAAATAGTTCTTTAATACCGAGAGATGTCATCTGTTAGATAGTAGCGTTCGCGGGAGATCGATGGTCCTAGGTTCGAATCCCACGTGTGAAATCGTAGCTATGTACTATTGTCCATCCCGTTTTTCCAGGTTTTCAATGTTGGTTTAACATTGACTAGTTCACAAGTTCAATGAAATTTAATCATGTCTATAACCTTGAACAGAGAAAATAGCTTTAAGTGTTTGCTTCATTTTTTTACTTACTTTCACTAGCTTCGCTTCGAGGTTCTTTATTTATGATAGTCTTATCTAAATGTTATTCTATTGAAAAAATATTCTGGTTTAACTTGAATTTATCTCATCTCATATGGTTTAGCAAAAGTGAAAAATTTGTTATGGATTGAACAGAAAGGTATTCCTGAGAAATTATAATCCATGGATTCAGATTTCTAGTAATGAAATAGCCAATCTAAGTTATTTTTTCTTGTAACCTTCAAGTATACATGTACTAATTTCGGTGGTAATAATTTAACTGATGAAGTTTTGTTGTTACTCTGAACAACGATATTAACGATATTTGATTATATTTCCTTGAAAAAGCTTAGGCCAGTTTTCCAGGCGAAATGTTGGATCTACTTCAAATTCATTTGCTGAGATTTTACAAATACATTCTTCCTCTTTAATGTCTCACATTGACCCGGCGCCCAAATACTGTGAAACTATTTGACCAAATTTAAACGAAGGTTCTTATCTGACTATATCAACGTAGAAATTATTCTGTTCGGTTATTCGAGTTCGTTCCGATTGCCTTGTTTGTGATTAGTTGTCTTTGAAAGTTTCTTCATCTCCATTTGTTCTTGTATTCCTTTTGGCCATCCTTTTCCGTTGACTTCTGGACATTCATTTGATTTACCTGATCCTTATCTTGTTTACAGATTGAATCTATCTCTATTTATTTTGAATACTATTCCTCTAGAATTTCTCTAGCTTGATTAAACTTTGACTAATTTGAACTGTGATATTTTCCCAATCGAATTTATGCAGATGGTTGTTCATGTACATTGATATCAGTGGTAACATATAATGTCGCTTTGCTGCTAATCTATTTTCATATATAGGTAGGTGTAAAGTGTGGTGTTTAATTTGGTGTGAAGTATTGTGATGTTTAATTTTATTGATAGTCAATACTGTTGTGTCGTTCATATGATTTAAAACGGAGAGAAAATTACTTTCAAATAGTTTCAATACCTTTATGATGCTTTTTTAGGATATTTTATACCTATTGTAGATGAATCATTTACTCATTAACGAAAAGAAACAATAAAAGCTTAGCAATCAAACTTGCTAGTTCATAGAACACAATTTAGCTAATGATATCTATCTGATTTCCATATAGTCTACATATATCAGTATGCTTACAGTATTTATCGATTTTGAAAATGTATGTTCAATTTAATTTTTCAATATTATAGATCAGAAACAGATAGTATTCACTAATCTTAGAATTCAGCACTGAATGTTTATTAACATTGAATTATTATTCTTTTCAATCCTAACTGGATAGCATTACTGATCGCAGTCGGCCTTGTGTCTGTAATGAATCTTTCAAATGTCTGCCCCATCAGTTTGTTAGTAGGTGATTTCCTCACCGAGATGGTAACGGGTAACGGGGAATCAGGGTTCGATTCCGGTGATTGTTCATTGATTTTTTACGATTAGGACGTGTTCAGCTTGGTTCACTGGCTGCGCAACCTTTCATCTGTATCTGTGTTAAACAGATGTTGGTAGCTTGACGATTTTGTCTTATTCATCTATCTATATGATTTTGGATGCCTTAAAACAGATGTCGGGAGCGGACGGTATGTTTACTTTGAACAAATTTGAGTGCTCAAAGCAGGACTTTGCGCCTGAAAATTTTTTCATGGAATAATGACATAGGACTTCATTTCTATTTTGTTTGTTTTCAGGTCCGAAGTAACGGTTAGGACGGACAGACAAGGGCATTTTGTAAGGTGATGTTAGAGATGAAATTCTAGGATCACTGTCAGACAAACTATAGCGAAACCATTTGCCAAGAATGTTTTCATTGAACAGAAGCTAAAGTCAGAGTTTCAAAGATGATCAAATAACGTTAGCGTTAATCTCCAACTATTCTAATATGAAATATCAATACATTTATAAATGTATTAATTATTAAAAAACTACTGATTATCAACAAAATTAGTAGTAAAATAAAATACGTACTTATGATTTTTATAAGAAAAAGAAAAAAAGAAAACGTTTCATCTTTCATTATAAAAATCAAAATTGTAAAATTCTAGAATATTTTCGGCAATTCAATTGTATACTTAAATCATATGAATTATTCTTCTATTATTTACATTGTTAATTACGTTATATTGAGTTATCATTATATTTATGATGAAAGGGGTATAATAAAATGTCATGTGAAATGTATGGGAATAGTTTGTTTTTGTTAGAATAGTAATAAATGTATTGAATTTGTTTTTTAACTGACGTTTTAACTTTAGTTACCGTCTTAACTGAATTTTGGTGATTTGATTTTTTTTCTTGTTTGACAGTTAAAAGTTTCGTTAGTTGAAAGATTTCTATTATATGATTGAAATTCTTCAGTTAATAATGATAGAAGAGTATAAAATACTGTAGATATACAATCTACTAATAATATATTCCAATAGTTGAATTCATGAGTCAACTGGAGCTGGGCCAGCATGGAGAGCCTGGAAGCAGTGGACGACCGTCTCGTCCTAGTATGGGACTCCTCACAGTGTGCATCCACGATCCTGCCCCCCACGAGATTCCAACTCAGGACCTATCAGTCTCGTGCGCGAGCGCTTAACAGTTAAGCCACTGAGCCGGTATCCAACCGTGTTAATGTATAACTTCTACCAATCTACTAAAATTGCGCCACCGTGGATGCGCATGGCTTAGGAGTCCCATACTAGAACGAAACGGTCTTCCAGTACTTCCAGGTTTTTATGGTGTTCTAGCTTCAGCTGACTCATGATTTTAACTATCGAAATTTCCAAAAACTCCACAAAACCATTTTTGATAATAATATATTCCTTCAATCAGAAAAACAATCATGGACCGATCAAAGTTAGACAACGATTACGGACGTAGAAATAATGAACAGTCGATTTGTACTAATATGAAACTCTTTAGAATTTCATACACAGTTATTTGAACCAGAACTTGTGATCACGCGAGTGAACGTTCAACCTTTAGACCATTGAACTGAAATCTAATTATGTACAAGTTTTACTTCAATTAATCCATGACATTGGGTGAAAAACTTCGTTTCATGATTTTAATATAGCTTAATGATCTCCACAACTCCATATAGATGAGTATTCACACTTTTTAGAATGTTCGTTTTATGAAAACATGACTGGTTTACAGCGATGAGTAATCAACCAACTGTTAATAGCTAAGCCTTAAAGAACATCGGTTAGTAGCATTTCAAAGAGCTGATTCGGAAAGTCACAGCTTGTATAGCTGTGTTTCAGTTCACAGGGGAGCATCAGTTCTGTCATCATTACAGATATACCTTGCTGACTAGTGCCAACTAGCGGGGAACATAAGTCTAGGGTTAGAAGTTCACTACCTCCAACCATTTGACGTCTTATATATACAAAAAATTTATAAGAATAAAATTATCAATATTCTAACTGTCACATTACATAATCAAGCAACAAATACCCAATAAAAATCCCATCTTACAATATAAAAATACCATTAATAAATGTAACTTACTATGTGGACTAGCTGGATAAAAATGTGAATCGATTGGAGGCAATTGTGGAAAAGTTTGAGAATGTTTACTTTGGCCACAAAGGATGTGATGTGACACTAAACAGAGGATGACTGTAAGTTTTAAGAAATGAAATTTATGGAAACACTTGAATAAATGACATATTGATATCGCGCTACATTGAATAAAAGTTTAACAAACGTGAAATTATATCATTCATGTTTTTGTATTAATCGTTTGAATCTTTCCATTGATGTTTAGCACTGCAAGCGGGCAGCCTCTAATTGGCATCCTGTGTTGGTGCCTCGAGATAGCCTAAAGTTACAAGCTTTTCCTAAAAAAGATGGATGGTGGCTGGGAGTGGGACCCAGGACTCGCGTTTCGTCCTACGTAGGACTGGTCAGCTGGATGTGCCTGCACTCCAGAAATGGTGATCACTTTGGGACCGGGACCCAGTATCGTTCGCTTGAAGCGCCATCATGTTATTCACTTAGCTGCTGAGTCTTGATAATCACTGATCAATTGTAGCCATAAACATCAATGGAAAGATTCAAACGACAAATACAAAAAGACGGGTTAAAACTTCACCCCGTTACATAAGCCAGTGGCTATGTGGACCCAGTAGCTTAGTGGATAACATGATGGCGTTTGGAGCGAACCTCAAATCCAGGGTTCAGACACATCTAACTGACGAGTCTCAAGTGGGACGAAATGCGCATCCTTGATTCCATATCTAACTACTATACATCTTTGCTCATGAAATAATATTCTTCATGCAGCTTATCATGCTCGTTTACATAAAATAGATTTTTTACACAGTGAATCGGAACATTAATTCAAAGTCTAAATACTGGAAGTTTTTAAGAGTATCTAGATTACTCTACTAAAAGTGAAGGTAATTTTCAGATGTAAATGTTTTATTAGCATGGAAGATTCATGAAGATTGTAAAATTTTCACAGCTTTGATCATGAAATGATCTAAGGTAAACCATCGTTGAAAATGTAACACCATTGAAAAGCCATTTAGTACTAGTATGTGAATCCTCAATAGAGAATATTCACGACCCCGGCTCAGTAAATCAAGCCCATTACCTTCAAACTCGCATGCGAACCATTAATCTCTAGACCATTCAGGCAGCATCCAATAGTGTTAATGTCCAACTTCAAACAATTTGCAACATTGCGCAACTCCTATCTCTTTACTATAGTGAACAACTCTTACACCCAACTTGGATTGAATTCTACTGGTCACAGTATCTCTCTAGAATTCCAGAAGATGCATCGTGGAGTCTTTTAATTTATTACCAATAATGTAAAACGTCATTTTTAAGACAAACTGACATGAACTGAGAGAAAAATCACTTAAAATCAGAGAACAATTAACAAATAAATCAGTCTAATTTGAGATTAATCATTAGTAAACATCAGTAAGTTTAGATCACTAGATCATGATTTAGTCATTCATATATGTAAGCAAATTACAAAGTTATATTATCAGTGTAACATATTTTATTTCAGGTTAACTAATAATAATAATAATAATAAAATTATTAGTTATTCTTTTTCATAAAAATGTTGAATCTTCTTGACCTGATTTCAACCGAACGGAAGTAATTAATCTGTTTGTTTCAGCGTAATAATATTTATGAATTGAATGAGTAAACGCCTATGTTTCAGTCAGTCATTTACAACTGCCGAACAGTATACTTGTCCCTTAACTGATAGACGGATATCACTTCTTTGTTTAATCTTATTGATATGAAGTTTTTTATTTATTTAGTTCCAATCATTAATGTAACTTAAAACTTTTATACATTTTCAACTGAGTAAGTACTAGGTAGCTGACTCGACAGTCATAAATAAATAAAAAAGATTAGTTCAGCGAAGAGTTCTTTTTTCGATGAATTCATTTTAAAAGCTGTAAAATCGCAAATATATATACTTATTCTTAAAGGATGATAATAATATTGATAATAAACTTCTGTTAGTCATGGTGACAGTGAGTTAAAATAAACATAGGTATCAAAAACCTTTTTTTAAACAAGGAAAGCTCAATAATCGTTTGATTAGTAATGTCTTAAATATTCATCAAAAGATAGATAGAGAAATAATCATTGGAACAGGATGGCTCACCATGATAAGATAAAATGTTGAAATAGAGATTAAATGTAATTAGGAGGATTGTGGAAACAGAAATAAACCAGTTAGGGGTAGAAGATTTAAGGGGAAGATGAAAGGTGAAGCAGATGTTTGTAAAGGAAGAAGAGTATGAAGAAAGGAAGAAAAGGGAGAAAAAAATATAGGACATTAAGACCATGGTAGAAGAAGAGGTTGTACCAATCTTTTTTGCACACACAATTCTGTTTTTTCCAGGTGTATGGCTATTGCTTAGACAATGCAAAGAAGATGCAATCTAATTGCCTTTGAAGACTTCTACTTATATTGTGGATGACTTTGAACGCAGTCTGTCTTGATTGAGTGGCCTGTGTTCACAGTGTCTTTTCCTCCTCTTCTTAGCCATGCCGGATAATGTTGTTGAGTTCTTTTGGATAAATTACGCATTGAACGACCCATATGCTTAGCTCCACATCAAAAGGTAAGTTGGTAAATGCGCATTGAGTTGGTCAGATGCGATAATTTATCTTTAAGCTATTAGTGAACAATGATCGGCTGGAGAATACTATTTGCAGCGTTGTTGCGAAGAATGATGTTTTTATATAATCAGAAATTCTCCTCTTTAAGATGTATGTGTCTCTGTCACCCTTAAAGTCGATGTTCATGTATAATGTTTTCTTTTCTGCCGAAATTATTTTTTTTTCGACGGTTTCGGTCTTATGTTCTTATGAATGAATATCGTAGGATACCCGTTTTTGATAAGTATCTCCTTCAAGAGGCCCTAATCTTCATCTATGACCTCGGGACTACAAATTCTTGGTACTCTTGTACTGAGTGATATTATCAAGTTTCTTTTCCCACTGATGGGGACCCAGTTGTGGAAATCTGATATTTGGCCATTCCACATGGGTTTCCTATATATAGATTTTGTTAGAGTTCCATCTTGTTTTCTTATCATTTCCACATCAAGAAAGTGAGTATTTTGTTTGTTTTCAACTTCAACTGTAGATTTTATTGCTGGGTGACAATTAATGAATGTCTTTAGATGACCTAAGTCATATTTGTTGTCACGAATGATAAAGATATCATCTATGTACCTTTTATACAAGTGGAGGTTTCCCATAATTATCTTAAGTTGGTTGTTTTGTAAACCGGTCATGAAGCAATCTGTTAATAATAGACCAAGAGGAGATCCCATTGCTATTGCCATCTTTCTGTCTATGAACTACGTCGTTGAATGTAAACTGTACAGACACTGAAAAACAAGTATATATATTTGCGACTGTACAGCTTTAAAAATGAATTCCCCGAAAAGAGAACTTTTCGCTGAACTAGTCTTTTTTATTTAATGTCTTAATGGGTGTATTCCGTTTATAAATAAATCTCTTACTATTTAAATGTTATTTGTTGGTCTTTGGATAATACTTAATTAAAAAAATAATCAGTATACTTTTTTGGCTTAAAAGAGATTTATTCTCAGAATTTTCATATTTTGTATTGTTTAATTGTTTATCTTTAAACATTTAATCAGTCTTCAGTTGTGATAATATCATCGGCTACAATGAAAAGGTTTTATTATCAGAAGTGGGTTTATGCGCAGATTGTAGCACTTTTAATAGTTGAGTTCATAATTCGATCAATGTTAGACCATCATGGAAAACCTGGAAGCACTGAATGGTCGATTTGTCCTAGTATGGGACTTCCGAGAAGTGCATATCCACAATCAAGCTCTTGGGATTCGAATCCAGGACCTTTGGTCTCGCGCGTGAGCGCTTAACACCTAGACTATTGAGCTAGCCATCATCCTACTGTGTTAATATCTAATTTCAACAAACCCGCGAAATCGGGCCACCGTCCATCATTGTCTTTAATTAGTTACTATCACACAAGAGACCCGGTTTTAGTTTGTTTAAAGGGAAAGTAGCATGAAAAATATAATCCCAAATTGTAATGAACCAAATATTTCACAATAAATTTATGTTTTATTCATAACTCGTTACTTGAAGTAAATCACAGTAGTTTTATTGCATAAAATACAGTCAATTTCTTACGTACACCCTCAAAAATAATTTCTCAACCCTAAAATATACTGACAAAATATGTTTTCAGTTACTAATGATATTCTTCTTAAAATTGTTATTTTACTAATGTTATGTCCCGATAAGAATCATGAATGGTAACTCTTGGGATCCATTTGTGAATCAATACTAAATGTATATTTTTATGTATAATTGTTAAGTAACTAAACTATTCATATTAGTGTTTCTCTTATCACAAGCTTTATTTTGACCTATGGACTATTATTATACGATTTACTGCTCTTGAGTTATGTCTGGTCTATTGATTGTAGTCTGTCATATTCACAGACATTTGGCTAAATCTTGTACAAATGTCCTTCTGGAAGAACCTGGAGAGAAAATTGATTTAGGGGTGATCTTAGTGACCTGAGAGCGTGACCGCAGTGCCCAGGGGACAACTACTTGAGGCCAGTCATATGAGACCTTTTTGTGGGTAGTTTTCGTGTTAGCTCCCTACTTATTGGGACCTTACCGCCGGAGAAAAAGTAGAATGATAATCCTATAGAAATAAAAAGTTTATTAGAAAACATTATTCACTTTTAACTACATGAGAGGTTGGCTCAGTCAGTCAGTCAACTACAACGTAGGACCAGGCACATATTTGCATCGTTCCAACTTACCACACCTCATTAGCACAACAAGATGAGTAATTTTCTTGTTAGCCTTGTACTTATTGAGACCTTACCGCCGGAGACAGAAATTCGTGGGATAAGGCGAGATGTGCATTTTTAGAATCCACCATTACTAACCCCACCCTTATTTATGGGAAGGCATCACCATTGTTATGCTGGTCGTCTGAAGGAAACACCTTACTGTCGTCACACCTCTGTACAGTCAGCCCTTGGAGGTTGGGTTTTCTGCTTTTAGTCTTACTGCTCTTTACCCGGCCTGTCTGGAATTGTAGAATCTTGAGGAACGATTGTTCAAGCCAGTAGAGCTTGACTGGTTTATTACGATAGACAAGCTTGACCACCACGTCAAGGTAGCAGCAACTGTCGAGATTTTAAAAAATACATTCATTCATTGATTGAATGAATCTTACGATAGAATCGTTTTAAAATAGACATCCTAATGTTTAATTTAAAACTTCGATCAATGTTTAAACCAATTTTTGACCAAATATTACCGAAGTTTAAATTCACTTGTTATTGTGTACTTAGATTATTTTAATTGATGTTTAGTACTGCAGTTGATCAATCTGTTATTGGTATATGTACAATACACACAGTCTGCACACATACACATATAGGCTTTTGAAAGAAACGGTACTGAGTTCGAGTCCAGGAGTGAACATCAACTTTGAGATGCAGGTACATCCATCTGACGAGTCCAGAATACGTCGAAACGAGCGTCCTAGGTTCCACTGCTAACCATTATTCATCTTTGCTTATGATTACTGAATATTGTTTTTTTAGATTTATCAATAATAAGAACTTTGTGATTACTTACGGCTGTTTACGGCAAAATCAATGACTAAATCATAGGTGTTGTTAAATTGAAACCAATATTGATATTTTTCGATCACTTTAATAAAATATTATGTAATATTGAAATGAAATGTCATTATCCTACTATTTGGAAGATCTGGAATCATTCACTGATTTTAACATACAAAACTGTATATTTAGTATACTATTGGTAATGGATTTTGAACCATATACGTGATGAACTTATTTAGAAACAAAACTGTAACGTCACTGAGAATATAATGGCGTCATCAAAATAATATTGACTAAGATCACTATTTGGAGGATACAAATTACTTAATGAAGTGATTAAATTTATTTGTTTATTAAGCATAAAAGAAACATAATAAAGCAATTTATCATCTAGGCTTTTCTACTTCCGTTAACTTAAGTCATCGCAAAAACAAAACAAAAAAACGGCATGTAATTACCGGTTTTTTTTCAATGGTTTTTAGTTCAATGAACTGAAATTAACTAATTTCAACTAGAAAATGGTTATTGACATCTCTACTAAAAAAATTGTGTAATAAATGATAATAAAAGAGAATTATAACAATTGATCGAGGATACATGTTAACTAGAAGTTTACAGAGCCCACAAATGCCCTGGTACGGCCAAGAGCGATGAGAGTCCGTTCTCCCTCTCTAAATGCTCTCACATGGTCACCCGTATATAATCTCTGATAGGGAAGTCCTACTCACTGCCTTCTCTCACCAGGGGTGTTGTTTACAAAATTGAAAGGACAAAAACTGAATGTCCGGCGATTCAACCAAGTTGGTAGACAAAGAGAGTCCACCCAGGGGAGTTGGAAAACCCTGATTTCAAACCAAAGGTGTACATGGGCTCTAGGATTCTAAAGGAACGAATGGCATATGAATCAATTATTTATCACCGGCTACCATGGGACTGCATCTCCTGACGTTGGTCCACTGCCTTGTGGATCAGACCTTCAGGTCAAACGCTCCGGGTATGGCCCCCTAGGGAAACCACCTGCTTCGGTTTGGGCACCCGGGCAGTATCACAGCCCTTATACGAATCAAATGAAATTTGTGTGGCGCATATGTATCTGGTGCCCCATCGTACCAACATCTATGTCTTCAAATAAATAAATAAGAACTTTACAGATAATTTGATTAAACAGTATTTCTCGTCAGTGTCATTTTAAATAAATGATAATTCAATATATTATTAATGTTTATGTAATAAACCATTCAATTTTCAACTTATAAATGAATAAATTCACTTGATATTGTTTTGCTTGAATTTCCTTATTGTTATTTAGGATTGCAATTGACCAGTCTCTTATTGGCATATGTACATACTGTGAGAATCGCCTTGATATTGAAATGGATATTGGTTAGCAACAGAATTCAGTACATGTATTTTATTTTATTTAAGATTCATCAACTGGATGTACCTACATCTTGGATTTGATTTTCAAACTCAGTACCGTTCACTTCAAACATCATCATATTATCCATTTCACTATTCATTCCCCATAGTTACTTGCTTATAATATGATGTAAACTATAAATTTCTCTTAGTATAAATAAAATAGAATATTCATCATTACAAAAGAAAAACAAAACAAAAGTAAAGTAAACTCACAAAAAAGAAACACAATTAATGCACATCCAAATGCAATTAATGGTGTTGCTATTTCACCAGCCATTCATTTAATTAATTATAATTGAATAATGTAATTGATATTGTTAAATTCAATTATTTGAATTGAATAAATGAATTTATCTTTGACACTGTTTCATTTATTCACTATAGTAGGTTTAATACAATGGATAATCTCTCTCTTTATATATATTTTTATATATAATTGTTTGTATTTAATTAATATATTTCTTCTATGAATTTATATCTCACAATTAAGATTTGTACACAATTGTTTATTTATTTGATTTATTGATTAATTACTTAATTTATTTACATGATAAGGAACATATTAGTATCATAAACATTCATATTTATATATGGAATAGTAAATTTCAATGTTACATTATCATAGATACAGTCATTGATTGTATGAATTGAAATTGATTGGTGTAAATGATAAGTAGCACATATGAATATACAAATGAATTTTTCAAATAGTAACTATGACTGTGTAAAAAAAAATGAAGACAAACACATTTATAATTAATACTTTAATTTTTCTTTTTTTTCTTTCATTTTTCTTCTTTTTTTTTAACCAAAATGTAGGATACTTTTTTAGTATCATTGTGAAAAACCATTTAATTTATAAATAGATTTATTTAATTAATGAAAACAATATAAAACAACAACAAAAATAAATAGACGGGGTGGGTCTGTTTAAATAGATCAATATTATTTTGGTTTCGTTTATGATTTTGATTGTTTAATCTATTGAGCTCATGTTTATCTATCAGTTTTTCATTTTATAATTAGATTATTGAGATAAGATGGTGGTTGGAGGTAGTCAACAGGAAACCTTGGACCCGGGTTTCGTGCTACTTGACACTTGTCAGTAAGGTGTACCTGTAATCTTTAGGGAACTGATGCTCCCTGACGAATTCGATCCCTTTTCACCTAGCTTCACAATCAGAGACGTTGTCATTAAGCTGTCCAGGCAACTTGGTCGATAGCATTCGATCTACATTAAGAAGGACTTGACACACATAAATCTGATCACCACTCAGAGGTCAGTCAGTTGTAAAAGTAGACTATTGTTTATTGTGTTTAAATTAATTATCGATTAATTATTCAATATATATTGATTTATTTTAAGAAATAATTAATGATTTGTTAACTGAATTCATGAGTTAATTGAAACTAGACAACCATTACACACCTGAAAGTATTGGACGACTTTTTTATCCTAGTATCTTCAGCAATACGCATCCAAGGTACCCCCCCCTGCGAGATTCGAACCCAGGATCTATTATTCTTGTGCGTGAGCAATTAAGCTTGAGACCATTGTACTAGAATCCAGCATTCATTGTCCTAAGTGAGTTACTATCTCACAACAGACCTGGTTGAACTCCACTGATCACTACTTATGACTAGTAATCCGGTAAATACCTCTTAAAGCCATTCACTAGTGAGCATACGATAACTATAATCAGAGAGAAGTTTTGTGGAGATTGTAGTAATTTAATAATTGAATTCATGAGTCTAGTGCTTCCAGGTTTCCCATGGTGATCTAGCTTCAACTGACTAGTGAATTCAATCATGAAATTACTACAAACTTCACAAAACCCCTCTCTGAAAACAATTAATGATTGCGAAAATTCATTATTAATTTACTATTAGAAAACACATTTTTAGTGTTTCTTTATAGAGTGTGGAAAGTGATATTTAATGTTTCAGAAATTCAACTGGAAACGATAACAAGAGCACTTAAATACTTCAGTTAGTCAACATTCTGGATATCATAATTCCACTATATTATTAATTATCTATAAAATATAAATTGTTATCAGGAGAGGATTTTGTGGACAGTGATGAAATTTCGTGGATTGGTTGAAGTTAGACATTTTAACACCGTTAAATGGCAACTTATTTGTTTAAAGGTTAAGGATTCACGCACGCGAGACCGATATGTTCTGAGTTTGAATCCCGTTCACTACTTCTTGGTTTACAGTGGTTGTCTAGCGAATATCAGTTCGTTATACGAGCTATGAAAATTCTGCCATCTCTGCAAATCCTTTGTTTTAACCTTAAATATTTTCCATCCAGGAAATATTAGTATATAAATTAGTCGATACTTTATTGCTTGGAATTTAAAGTATCACATATGATTTAGGTCTAAACGTCAATAAAATGTTATTTGTACAAAAAATAGCTTCGTTTGTTAAGCCTAAGTAGGTAAGTAAATAAGTAGATAGTGTTATCAAAGTAAAAAATTCATACAAAATTGTGGATGTTTAGTTAAGCTGGGCATACAATTGCGCCGTAAACTATCTCAAATGCAATCATTGTGAATGATGGAGTATATCAGGGGATGTTTTATTCCGTATTACTAGAAATTTACGTTCTGTAATAGTTTACATGATGGTAGACATAAAATAATATTTTCTATTTCGTTAGCGGTTTGCAATAGTATAGAAGGTTATCAAAAAATGATTAACCCCTTTTTGATATGAACGGACATCTTCAAATGCATACGTTACATGTTCTTGTCGCAAATGGATATTTTTGTCAGATAACCAAAATTGTGGCCATTATACCACTAGATGTGTACAGGCGTTTTTATGAAAAACTTTAATTGGAAACTAATAAAACAAGGTGTAATTCGTGATATAAGAATATGACATTCTTTCCATACGCCTTCCAATTAACCAGTTAGTTCAATATCAATACTGAATATGACCTCTATAAATGAGACTGAACCATAAAATCTGATGTTTCCAGTCATTTTAATAAACATCTAAAACATTACTTATAATATTGCTAACAGGTTAGATAAAATGATCTTTCAGCTTCTTGTACCAGTACCACGTTGTTAATATTCAAAAAAAATATATTTGAGCAACGAACTGAAGAACAATATGGTTAGTATGAGTTTCTTTTATGATAATAAATATGTACTCATGCTAGACATTTTGGAAAAGTTTAGATAAACAAATAGCTTGGTATTTAAAATATTCTGAACAGGAAGTTCTAATCAGTATCCATGTGATCTAATTCAATATGCATATGGAGTAATATTTCTTTCAAACTATTTTTCAGAGATTTTAATTGTTTCTATAGGATACAATGACCTGTAAGTTAGCGACAGCACGGAACGTGCTCTTGACAAACTTATGGCACTTGGACTAGTGGTGATACCAAGTTAATAACTTAGGTTATCTCGATCAACTGACAATGACAAAATGATTTTTTTAATTCTAGACATTAGGTCTTCTCGGAATTGGGGATTTTGAATTTGTGAGTCTAGTGATTAGATTTTATATGTTTAAAATCTCTGGAGAGAATTCCCATGATAGCCATATCATGTATTTATAGTTACTGAACAACACAATTTGAATAGGTCGCATAAACGCTGTTAAATTCAGTGTTTGTAGTCCTTTAAATTTAGAAATAAGTGTAATTTTCAACTCTTTATCCTATGATTTCATTTGTTCTCTTCTAACTGTATTTCTCATGTTTTGGTTTACTTTGCATTTTATATTTTTGCATCGATTCTGTTAATTATCTTATTGATGTATACTTCAAATGTACTGACATGAGATGTGATAAACTGGAGACATATATATGCATGTCAAATCTTACAAGAAGTATAACTGATGAATGGGTTAACACAAGAGGGGAAATGTAGCCAGTATATTTTGTCAATGGCAAAATATAACGAATCGAAAATAAACCATCTACATTTAAAACTTCAGTCTAAGAAAGCATAAAACAAGACAGTCTTTCAGTGTTCTCTAGTGTAATAACATATTACTTTATTGCATACAGAAGCGACACAATATATAATGTAAGCATCAAGTCATTAATTTGTATTATCAAATACCATTTCACATTTACTGAAGCATTAAAACTAAATGATTTCACATCGCTACGATTCTTTATTAATCAATTTGATTTCAACCTACTTTCTTTTTAAATCTACGTTTACAAAGATATCGCAGAGATTCATCTTATGTGATACATGGAATACATTTAATTGTTCATGTAATATGACAGATAACCACTGTACAAAAAAATAGTAGAATTATATTTGTAATTTCAATGGTTGCGATCATGAGTCAGTTGAAGCTAGAACACCATGAAAAACCTGGAAGTACTGGACGGCCGTTTTCACCTATAGCCTCAACTGACTCATGATCACAACTATTGAAATTACTACAATCTCAACAGAACCCACTTCTGATATTAATCAACATATGCTCACTACTGAATGGCTTCAACAGGTATATCCTGAAGTTCTAGTGAGAAGCAGTGACCAGTGGAGTTCAACCAGGTCTGTTGTGAGTCAGTAACTCACTGATGACAATGGTGGATGTGTGGCTTAATTTCGTGGATTAGTTGAAATTAGACATTAGATGCTGGCTGACTCAGTGTTCTAATGGTTAAGCTTTCGCGCACGAGACCGCTAGATCCTGAACTGGAATCTCGTGAGTCGGAATCGTGTATTCGCACTGCTGAGGAGTCCCATAATAGGACGAAACAGGCATTGAGTGCTTCCAGATTTTCCATGGTTGTCTAGCTTCAACTGATTCATGATCTCAACCACTGAAGATTTTAGAAACAATTGAATATTAGAAAACTGTTTCTCATAAAGTTCTCTGAAAATCAATTAACTAATGGTCATGACAACGATCTAAGTTCTAAATTGTTCGTTTAATTATTCAGTTTAATTTGTTATGTCAATTAAATGTAGATGGTTAGTGATTTCATTGGTATTTTCAAGTTGTTTTGTCTGTTTTACGCTCAAGATCGATTAATTTATCATCATAGAAATCCATCTTCAAAATTCATCAATCAATCAAGAATTATATCATGTTTTGAAAAAACGTTTTTTTTTAACTTTTTAACAATTTCTTAACTTCTTCAATTTAGTCACAAGTAACGCGGTTATTGAACGGAACTTCAGTTATTAAAACTAAAGAAATTAAGTCTGGAAATATGATGAAAATTAATGTGGTTACTGTTATATTTTATGGCCTTGTGCTTTATTAATATAAAAACGTAATG